GACAACACGTGAATTATGTATAAAGTAGTGTGGATGCAACTACTCTACTACTTACGAATTTATTGGGATGCTCTCTATAACTTTGGAACGAAACTTTGTACAAATGTATTAGGAGGGTTACGAATTTATTGGGATGATACAACCAAACTTTAAACCACATATGTATTTGCATAAATGGATCACTTGAGAGTTACATTTCGATTATTTTCTTTTGAGCCTTGAAAATTATCTTACAAATTTATTGGGATGTTTTCTATAAACTATTAACGACATAATCTATAAAAATATAAAGATAAATAGAACATACGTATTTGCATAAATGGATCACTTGAGAGTTGTATTTCGATTATTTTCATTTGGGTCTTGGAAATTGTCTTACAAATTTATTGGGATGTTTCTGCAAACTATTAACGACATTAGTTATAAAAATATAAGGATAAATAGAACATATCTATTTGTATAAATGGATCACTTGAGAGTTACATTTCGATTATTATCATTTGGGTTTTAGAAATTGTCTTACAAATTTATTGGGATGTTTTCTATAAAATATTAATGACATAATCTATAAAAATATAAAGATAAATAGAACATACGTATTTGCATAAATGGATCACTTGAGAGTTGTATTTCGATTATTTTCATTTGGGTCTTAGAAATTGTCTTACAAATTTATTGGGATGTTTCTGTAAACTATTAACGACATTAGTTATAAAAATATAAGGATAAATAGAACATATCTATTTGTATAAATGGATCACTTGATAGTTGTATTTCGATTATTATCATTTGGGTTTTGGAAATTGTCTTACAAATTTATTGGGATGTTTCTGTAAACTATTAACGACATTACCTATAGAAATATAAGGATAAATAGAACATGTGCATTTGCATAAATAGATCACTTGAGAGTTGTATTTGGATTATTTTCGTTTAGCCTTGGAAATTGTCTTACAAATTTATTGGGATGTTTTCTATAAACTATTAACGACATTAACTATAAAAATATAAGGATAAAAAAAACATATCTATTTGCATAAATAAATCACTTGAGAGTTGTATTTCGATTATTTTTATTTGGGTCTTACAAATTGTCTTACGAATATATTAAGATGTTATTTATAACTTATTAATGAAACTATTTAAGTAAAGGTTGGGATGATTTGTACAAATATATTTGTAAAAGGATACAAGTCCCAGAAAAATTGGAACAACGTTTAGAAAACACTTGAATTATTTTTGTATTATGGATGCAATTACTCTATTCGGTACGAATTTATTGAGATGTTATATATAACTTAGGCATGCAACTATTAAATTATAGGTTTGAATGATTTGTACAAATATATTAGTATTAGCCTATATAAGTTAAAAAAAAGTTATGTTGTAAAACAATTTTACTTGAATTGATGAGTTGATTCAAAAGAAATCATTAGAATTAGGAGGAATAAATGGTATTATATGTCAAATGTATTGTGTTAATACGTCAATGCATTCCCTCATTTTAAATAGGTCAATCACTTGCATTTGATTATCGAAAGAAAATATCTAATTTCAATACATACATAATACACAAAATTATCAAAAATCGGTCAACCACTACATTTCCAAATATACCAAAATATACATACCATATAAAACAACTCGGGCAAATTCCAAAAGGCTACAAGTACGCAGACGTAAATGAACAACATCATAAAATTAAAGTCAAATACATATTGGAATGACTGTTAAGAATCAAAGAGTCGTCGTTCAATTGGTCAGCCTATCTCCGAAATTGACAAGTGGGACGTTGGAGTGCCTGTCGATTGGCAATTGTTTACATCTGATATCTTTGAATATGATGATGTGACAAAATGCAATCCAATTTACATCTGGAGTCGTTCTTAAATGCATGCTCCACCTTAATAGTACATTTGCCTGGTTAATTAATGGAGTATTGAGTTCACCAGCATAAATATTGCAGGTGGTGGTGGCGTCACATATGAAGACGTCACATGTAAAAATTCTTATAGTTGCTGCAATACTGACAGTAACAAACAGGTGGTAGGGGATTGTATAACTTTGACTGCCACCTGCCTCTCCGGATACAAGGGCTTTAGTGAAATTCTGCAACATAATAATGAGATTTATTACGTGTGCATAATTTAATAGATAAATGGTATTACTTATGAAACTACATGAAAAACGGTAATGGGAGAAAAGTACCTCAACCTAAACTGTTCCTTTCGTTGAGTTCATCTTATTGTGAATCTTTAGCTCCATGGTTGGTTTCAACCTCTTACATTTTCATTTGCATATATCTTTACAATTGAGGCTATTGGGAATTTTGTCAGTGCTTTTGTTGCTCCTCAATTTTGCATTTACCACAACTATAAATTGCATTCATCTAAGCAAATTTACGGCTACAGTTTTGTGACCCATCAAGATTATTAAACAAACACAATGTATCAAGATTATTAAACAAACACAATGTAAAATAACTACTATATAAGGTAATGCTAATGATATATTATAAAATATATTAACAATATATATATATATATATAAAAGAAAATTTATAAATTTTATATTTTTAATATTGTATACATGGTAACATGTTTTACTCTTTAATTGTGTAATATAACCCATTTTGAAGTGTTATAAAATCAGTCAAATATATATATATATAATATTGTATACATGGTAACATGTTTTACTCTTTAATTGTGTAATATAACCCATTTTGAAGTGTTATAAAATCAGTCAAATATATAACACTTCAAAATGGGTTATATTACACAATTAAAGAGTAAAACATGTTACCATGTATACAATATTAAAAATATAAAATTTATAAATTTTCTTATCTTAAACAGATTATTAAATTTATATAAAATTTGACCGATTTTATAACACTTCAAAATGGGTTATATTACACAATTAAAGAGTAAAACATGTTACCATGTATACAATATTAAAAATATAAAATTTATAAATTTTCTTATCTTATACAGATTATTAAATTTAAAGCTAATCACATCTCCAAAATATATTAAAAAAAAAAAAGAAAAAAAAAAAAAAACACCACTATCCAAGCGGGTTAATTATCTGGGATTCAGATTGCTAGGGTTTGGTCCGCCCAAGGCCCCACCACCACGTCAGAGGTCGTCCTTTTCATTGGATGCTTTACGGTCTGCTATGTACTACAATTTTCTTCTCTCTCACTCACTCTAGGGTTTGACTGAGCCGTTCGTCGCACTGCAAAATTCTGGAGGTAAGAGATTCAAATTCTCTGAGCATATCATATCATATGTGTATGTGAATGCATTTGTGATGTTATAATTGCAGAACTTTATTTTCTGATCTCTTTCTCCCTCACAGTTTCACTTAGGGTTTGACTGAACTGTCCGTCGCACTGCAGAGTTCTGGAGGTAAGAGATTCAAAACTCTCTATATATCACATCGTATATGTATATGTGTATATAGATGCGTTTGTGATATTTTAATTTCGTAACTTTATTATAGAATTTGATCAGATCAGATCTGATTTTGTTTCGATCTCCCGAGTGTTGCCCATACATCACGGCGAATTATTCGCAGATCATTCGATTTCGAAGGTTTGGTCAAAAGTATGTCCAGATCTGTTTTGCTAATAACTGTATTACATGTTTTTTTTTTTAAAAAAAAAAATTATCGGAGGTTTAATGATTCTGTCAGCACAGCAGTCACTTCGAATGATGATCTGATCAGCTTGCTGTTCTAGTTGGTCTTAGATCTGATTTCTTACATGTTGTTGTGATTATTTGTTTTAATCTATACACTAAAATGGATTTTGTTTTAAGATGCTTAAAATGGATAGAAGGAATAATTGTAGAAGAAAATTTTTGTACTTTTGTGCAGCGTCTTCGACTTTATGTTCTATTTTTCCACAATAATTTTTAGCATTGAATTGAAAACCTGATTCCAAAGATGGCACAATTATCTGCTTGCTTACATGTTGTGATTATTTGTTTTAATCTATACACTAAAATGGATTTTGTTTTAAGATGCTTAAAATGGATAGAAGGAATAATAGTAGAAGAAAATTACTGTACTTTTGTGCAGCGTCTTCAACTTTATGTTCTATTTTTCCACAATAATTTTAGCATTGAATTGAAAACCTGATTCCAAAGATGGCACAAATATTTGAATAAATGTTAAAGGGAGGAAGAGGAGGTGTTGAAGATGTGAAGTTACAGGGTTCAAGTTGGAGGAATTCTTGCTGAGATAATTGTTTTATCTAGCATGATGAATTGTTTCCTTTTAGTTCTTTTTCAAGAACTCTAGAAATAGAAAAAAAATGTTCTAATTGGGTTCTTTGTTCACTCTGTTTTCATATAATATAATAGCTTTTGAAAACTGTCAACCAAATGAGGCAAAATGTTTGCACTCAAAATGCCCACTTTTCATATCATCGTCGTCGTTAGGAAAGTGTGAAAACTTCCATGTTGATAGCTTGGCCTGAAGCTTTTTCATACTGTTTGAGAAGGTCTCGACTTTGGTCTTGAAGATCCTGCAGCAGATTAACTGGAATTGGCTTAAATTTTGCACTGTTTTCTATTATTCTATTACCTGTTAACAAAAAACTATTCTCAGAAAATTAAATCAAACATTCTTGTAGTTTGCAGCCTTCTGTTTTCTTTTGCTTTATGCGGTATAGACTTCACATGTACTTGTGCTGCCATTTATATGTTTCACATTTATCAAAAAAAAAAAAAAAAAGGATGTTTATTTCTTTGTATTTGAAGAAGGTTTGAGTTGATTGAAATGTAATAGTCAAATAGTCTGGACCTGAGGTGATGATGGGCATGAACTATTACCTAGACAATTGTTTTGTTGTACCAATTATTTCTCTTAACCTTTTCTCTTTGCATATAAATTTTTTGTTCTATTGAAAAGGATCACTTTAAAATTGATTAGTACAATATGGCTTAATCTTTTTCTTGTGATCTAATATGAAACTTCTGGTGTAAACAAAGTGAAATTGTTTCATGTCTGATTGGTCATCAGACTCATCACCAGCAAAATGCATGCTGGTTTGGTTTTAAGCAAAAATTTCACATTGTAAGTGCTTTTTCCTAAAATGAACTATGTTTTATTTTTCATCATACTGGGCAATCGAACTTGAGTAAAAGTTTGACTGGCCATTTTTCAAGTTCATAACAGGTCATTCCTCTCCCGAGTGACCTGGTCCAACTCAGCCCTAAAAGAACTGATAGTCACAGCAGATTGGACCTGATCCATGGCATGACCCTCAACACACACAGCATAGCGAGCTTCAATGGTCGTGACCACATCCTCATAGACACTGCCCAGGCAGAGTCTCACCCAAGGTCACTCGGTGGAAGTATAAAAACTGTGCTGCTATTGCGTGTTTTTACGCGTGTGCTTTCTCTAGTTACCCTTGTTAGGTTAGAAAGATAGACACACTGTTTATGATCCCTTTATGGCTTAGTGTTACCTCTCCTTTGCCCCTTCTCAGACATTTTTGACAAGTTTTTGTGTAACTGTGTCATTTCTTCTTTTACATAAAAAAAGGTTGAAAAAGACCGTCTCGTTAGCTTGAGCAATATGAGGCCCATATTCTGCGGCAACCTTGATTATGAAGCACGCCAGTCTGATGTTGAGCGAATTTTCAGAAGATATGGGGCGGTTGATAGGGTGGATATAAAATCTGGTAAGTTATTAATTTTCCTGTTGATGATTTTTTTATTATTATTATTTTTGGCTTTGGGGATGGGTGGGATGTAATGTTTTTGTCTTTGAATTCTTGTAAAAAATTCTGGCAGTATTATAACCAAATTTCTGTATATTATGTATATTCTGTGATGATGATGTTGAGCCACTTGTTTGACACCGTTTAAACTGTGACGGTTCATGGTTAAAAGGGCATCATAAGATATAATTTGTTTGATTTGGCGCGCGTCCCATGGCAGCAGAGCAATCCAGGAGGGGGATCAATGTCTGCTGCATTGTAGCAGATTCAACTCTATCTGGCTCAACTCTCTTATTGTCATGACATTGTTCAGACGACAGATGACTGCTATAAAAGAGCTCTCTCATGTTGAGTCTTAATTGGGTTCTAGAATGTGCATAATAAAGGAAAAATAACATTTAAAAATCATTGGAAAAAATGATAATTTTGGAAAGAACTCGTTGACCCTTTTTCATATCTATCCTTGTGACATAAAGGCAATTTTTGCCAAATTTTTTATTAGTCAACTTGTATGATGGAATGAGTTGTTTTACTTCTTTTTACAATAATCTGCCTATTAATGATGCCCTTTCATTGTTGATCAATGTTAGTTCTAAAAGAGCAATACATGTATACATTGTGCACTTGTGCATCACAGAGAGGAAGAGAGATTTTTGTTTCTTGTAAGAAATGTGGGCTTGATCTTGTCTTTTTCCATTTCCGGCACATATCTCAATTAAGGCACTGTTCAAATGCTGTTAGGTAAGGCTCTTGGCTGATATTCAATAGGGTCAATATGTTTTTGAAAATATTTATTTTTGAATAGTGCCTTAAAAGTTATTTTTCCTTAGAGAAAAACAGGTCTTTCGCTGTGGTGTAAACCCCCATACTCAACAATTTCTTTGCCGCAGGATTACTGAAAATGTCCATGCTCCATCTGGATGGACGGATCCTCTGCTTTCCTTTTCTGGTTTGTGCCCGAGGTTCATCTTGTGTTCTTCCAGAAGAACCAATCTGATCTGCTATGGCACCACTATCATACATTTTCCTGAGACACCATTGCTTTTTCATTCCTCCATCACTTTTGCTCAGTCTTCAATTTCCGACATGTTTCAACATTGATATCATGATGATTTCGGAACCAGTGGCAGGTTTTGTGTTTACTTCCTGACAGAATTGTTACCTTGAGTGTGCGTGTGATGTGTTTTCTGTTGTTTCTTTTTTTTTGTTGGGAGTGTTGGGTCGATGGTTTTTGAACCTGTTGAGTGTTGACAATATGTTGTATTCTCAAGTTTCATGATGGAGGTTTCTTGATTCAGGTTTAATATGTTATGTCTATTTTTAGATTTGTTCATAATGAAAGAAAAAAAATTGTTCTGCACTGTTTCCTTACCATTTTGATTTCACAGGATTTGCTTTTGTCTATATGGATGATGAGAGAGATGCTGAGGATGCAATTCGAAGACTTGATGGGATGGAGTTTGGCAGGAAGGGGCACCGGCTTCGTGTGGAGTGGACTAAGGTATTGTTAGTGATGATGACTTGTGCTCTGAGCCCAACATGGACGGTCGTTATGTCGTGTTCAATTGTACATATTTATTATATACAGACAAACAGGATCCAAAAAACATTATTTCTTATGGTAATGTTATAATCAATTTGTGGTACTTCCCCTCCCCCCAACTTTTATTTTCCTCCCTCACCTTCCTCCTCTCTCGATGTCTTTAGTCTGTTATGGAGGAATCCTTTTTCACCCATAAATTTACAGATTGGCTTTAATGCCATGTCCGTCCAAACATCCCCTTTAAATTTTTCTCCAAACTATTGCGGGACTTAATTTCTCTAAATTCCATGTTGCAGCAAGATCGTGGCACTAGGGGGCCTGGTAACTCAAGAAAGCCTCCAGTAAATGCGAAACCCTCAAAAACCTTGTTTGTGATAAATTTTGATCCAATTCATACCAGGACAAGAGACCTGGAGAGGCACTTTGACAAATATGGGAAAATATCGAACATAAGGATTAGAAGGAATTTTGCTTTCATTCATTATGAATCACAGGAGGATGCCACCAGAGCATTGGATGCAACAAACATGAGGTTTACTTTTGTACTTCCATATTATGTACAATATAATCTCTTTTGAGAAGTATTTCCTGGCTAGGGATATATTCATTTTATAGCGTCTACAGTACTTTTTTACATTTTTGTTTGTAAGTAACTTTCAGCATGGATGATTTTTAACATTTGTCTAGAATTTCTGTTCAGTTTTAAAATGACATCAAACTTTTTGTCCGAGATTTGTTAGCTGTTTGTTTAAGATCATGAAATTTGTTACCAAATCTGAACAGAGCCAAGAAGTGTTTGACAAGGACACGTTTTCTCTCTAAGTGTGTATTTGATTCACTGGTGCTGCATAATAAAGTTGTGCACTATGCCCTTGATTTTTTTTTAAAGAATCCGGTATTTGTCAAAAGAAAAATGCACAATGTGTTCGAGCATTATGTTTGCTTTCAATTGTCTCCTAGTACTTGTTCCAAAGCCTCGTCAAAGCACACCTTTGACCTTTAGCCTTGGTCACCGTTGCTTCCTAATTGTAACCAACCTGGTTTATACTGATTTTGGTTTTGTTTGATTCCGATGTACAGCAAGTTGATGGATCGGGTTATTTCAGTGGAATATGCAATTCGAGATGATGATGAAAGAAGGAACGGATATAGCCCCGACAGAAGGGCTCGTGACAAGTCCCCTGGGCGAAGAAGCTACGATCGTGGGCACTCCCCAAGTCCTTATCGGAGAGATAGAGGTAGTCCTGACTATGGTCATGGATCCAAACCACATTCTAGACCTGAACCGAGGGAAAGTCCCTGCTATGATAGAACCGAAAGCCCAATCAAGGAGAGAGATCACAGGTTTATATCATTCTAAATTAGTGATTTTGCCTATAATGTAATGATTCTTTCTGCTTGTTTTTCTTTGAAAAGAACTATCATTCTGAATTGCAATTTAGCTGTGTTTTTATTGTTTTTATGGTTTATGTTTGTTTGATTATATCGTTTAACTAATATTTAACTGAATTGGCAATGCAGTCGCTCACCCCGGCCACGTGGAAGATCTCGATCCTGAAGTTGGTAGGATTTGTTTTCTATATTCCCTATCCTCCTTTCCCCTACCTGTTTTTTTGTGCTTTTTCGGTTCCCAGTTCCAATTTTCTATTTGCACTGTCTGATAGAGACTGTTGGAGATGTAGCTGTGATATACTTACTTCTGAATTGCTGAACTAGATGACTTTCATTGGCATTTGGTTTATGGACTCATCACTTATAGTAGTTGCACTATATTTACTCTCCGGGAACACCTGCTTAAAGATGCAAACTCTTTTTTTCAGTAAAAAAACCACCTCCATGGCTCTAGTTCATTGTTGAATGACGTGTTTTATTAGAAATTGCGATTATGTTAATTATTTCTAAATTAGGATTTGGATGACTTGTGTTTCAAGTAATTATATATTGGTTCTTGTGTGGTGGTGTAGATATTTTGCAGCCCAATAATCAAAAGATCTTTGGAACTGGTTATCCATTAATAGTCGGATGTTCCAATATTCTATGGATAGAGGAATGCTTATTATATCCTCGGTGTGTAGTATCGGTTTTTCTCCAATATATGCTTAAGATTTGAAGATGAGGAAGAAAAAAAGTAGTGGAAGAGGGGGCGTGAAGAATAGATTATTGGATTATTTTTGAATAAATTACAAGGAACTTTCTTGACTTAGTACTTTGACCTTCTTGCGGTCATGACTCTCTCTATCGTCCATATGTTTTTGGTTTCAGCTGGATACCAATTTTAGAAGGAGGTGGTTTACTTTGAATTGTACATGTTGAAACATGCAAAATGACCAAAAGGTCGGAAATATAGAGTAAATTATGAAATACTACTTTTATGCATGAATGGTGCAGGCTGTGCGGCTCAGCCACGCTGCCGACAGTAGACAGCGTTACGCCCCACGCTTCTAGATAAATGCGCCCGAAATGGTGGCCTCTGTTTGCCAGGTGTTCGTTCTCATTCGCTTATCACCAAAAGTGTAACACTCTTTTCCAGTATATTTGCGTAGTTTTATATAATATATATTTTTTTACTGAGTCAAAGTTTTGAACTTTTGAGTGAAATCTAAATAATCAATTGAGCTTAAATGCTTCTCCGGTGTTCTAAGTTTGATGTTGGAGGCACAAGTCAAACTCCCTTGGGGTGGGACTCAAGTCTGATTAGTGACCCCGAAACAGTTCATCTCAGTTGGCTTGTAACTAGGCCAATAAGATGAGAAAAATTAATTGCACAATCAAGTCACTCGTAACAAATGAGTCGTCAATCTATTTTGTTTATTTAACTTAACGAGCTAAGTTGAAAGTTATCACACCTGCAAAGTCCGAAAATAGGGAACAGGTTATTCAGTGAATTTACATACGGTCAAGTGCACTCAAAATAACTGAATTTAACACAAGTTTAAATGTTGAAGTTTACTTTTTTGTTTTCCAAAAAGGTTAATGTGTTTTTTTTCAATGAGGAAAATTGTTGCTCAAAGGTCCTTCAAAGAGATGATTAGTTTTACTTCTAAAAGATAATCTAGGATTTATTTATTAAATGCACGAAGGTGGTGAGTAACATGTGACTATGTGAGACATACAATATGCCAGGCAGAGGCCGGACCAACCTACTATGAAAGTGATTTTGGGCTCATTGAAAGGAAATGAGCACTTAGTAGTTGTCAAAGTTGGTTGGTTCAATTACCTATTTGAGTACTAGTATTTTATTAGACAATCATGTTGTCATTATCCAAATTTGTAAAGGGTAGTCTACCAAACAATTCAGGTCCCCATGAGTGACAAAATGATAATGTTGGCTCTTTTTTACTTTTCAATTAAAAAGGTTCAATCCTTTTCATTTTACCCCCTAAAGCTGAAAGGGTTCTTCTAAAACGCAATTATGAGTGTATACGTGGTTTGAAGATATTTTACTGTGTACGAAGGTTCACAATCTTCATATGTATATGAGTCCGGTATAAAGATTGTGGCGTAATTTATTTCATGACAAAAGAAATTTTCTATTATTAAGTATAGTTGGTGACCTTATAAACTTTTAATGGAGTGTACTTTCACATTAGCACTTTTTTTTTTGGGCAATTGTAAGAAAGTAGATAATAAATTAAGATTTGAGTTGATTGGACAAACTATCTCACACAAAATAAATGGCAAAACACAAGAATTAAAAATTATCATTTCATATCGATTTTTTTTATTTTTAATGTATTAGTTCATATCGAGAAACTAAGAATGTTTTGAAGAATTAGTAAGAGATTAAAAAAATACAAATACTTACAATCTAAACTACTTGTTAGTGCAAAAGTAAGACAAGGTAGCCTTAAGTTGTAGGAGTATGAAATATGCACTGTATCCTAATTAGATAATGGCGGATCCAAGGGAGGGCTGGGCTGGGCTCCAGCCCACCCCAATTTTTTTTTTTTTTTTTTTTTAATTACTATGGATAAATTTAACCAAGCCAAAAAAAAAAAATAAATAAATAAAAATTTATTTTTAGTATTAACCCATCCAAACAAGCTCAAGTCAGTTAAGCCACACTACTAAAATAAAGGCTTAATCTAAACAGGCCAAGCCAAACAAGCCTGAATAAATAAATATTTTGTAATCTTTGAATTCAAATATTTATTTAAATTACGTTATAAAAAAAAAAAAAAATTGCTTTAGAAATTGTGTTTTTAAAATTTATGTTTAATTTTATCCCACTCCATTAACAATTCCTGAATCCACCCATAAAATTAGATGCACTAATTAAAAAAAGATATTAGTCCACCCAATTTGATTGTAATCAAGACAATAATTAAATTATTAAGTTGTCATCATCATGAGATTAGTTTGGCTTCATGTATAATTTCGTGATTCTTAAATCATTACATTTTCAAAATTTAAAATTTGTTGGTCATAAGTATATAAAATGAAGCAAATGCTAAGCTTGTGTGACATAAAGACAATATTTTTTCAAAGATCGAAATGTATGCTATGATTAACAATTTTGTAGATAATTAAATTTCAAGCGACTATACTTACCAAAAGTCTAAAGTACCCATTCAGTTTCTCTAAATATAGCTTCTAGTATTACTGACAAAAACGATTAATATATTGGTATTTTCGGGATTCTGTAATTACTCTAGGTGCATTTACGTCATTTCAAAATAACACTCGTGAGTCGTGACGCCAGTCAGCACTCACGAACACGTGGTACTGAGCTCAACAAACGCATGTAAAAGTAACTTAGCTGGTCCCACCGTACATGTGGCTGGACCTTCCACATCAGATCCTCGGTAACGGAAATAAATTTCGAAAAGCACTTTCAAATTTCAACATTATAACACAACGGTTACATCCCCAATAATAGCCGTCGGATCTCATAACGTGCTCGACATTTAAGCTCGTTGTCCGAACAGAGCCCACCTTCTCTCTCTACCATAACACGGTAAATAATGCGTATGCATTACAAATTTACAATATTCTAGATAGAGAATCCAGGCGACAGAACACAGCAGACTCTGACATTTTCTTCTATGAGAGAGAAATTTGAAAGAGGTTTGATTTTTGAATGCGATTGTTCGCTTTCGTTATTTTCTGTTTAAAGCTCGATACTTCCTCTGGTCATTTTTTCAAACTTGATTCTTCTGATTTTCTTCGTTTTTTTTTATCTTTCTAAAATTGTCTTTATTTTCCATCAGGAAACAAAAGAGCTTTCTGGGTATCTTCTGTTTCTGATAAACTGTTTCTGGATTTCAATTTCTGAGAGCGAGAGTAGATAATTTTGAGTGTTTTGGAGATCAAGTTTTCTGGGTATCTCTTATTCTTAGAAAGTAATTCTTGGTTGCAGTTTTCTAGAGAGATTTGAAGATCGAGTCTATTGGGTGTCTTGTTTTGTGGAAGTAGTCCTGGGTTTCACTTTACGCAGAGAGTGGTTTGACGATCAAGCTATATTGGGTTGCTTTCTGGAGAAAAAGGGCGAAGCTTCTTGTTTCTGAGTCTTAAAGGTTGATGCTCTTTTTTTTGGCTTGCTTTTCTGATGCTTGCTTGAGGGGAAAAAAATATTTTACTTTAATATAAAACATTTGCCTTCTAAAATTAGGGTTTTATTAGTTAGTAGTTGATCTGTATCTTGTTTGGTTTACTTTTTCTAATTGTGTTTTTTTGCTTACAGAAACAGCAGAGAGTGCTATTGTTATTTTTGTGGCTGTTACATTGCTTTGAATGATTGTAAAGGAGAAAGCAATTTGAGGTATTTTGTTGTTCTATTGTATATTGCATCAAATTAATTTGTTAAGTACTATTTTTTGTGAGGTTGGTCCCATTTCATAAATTTAAATACACTCATTATATGTACAACTGTAGAATGTAGATAGAGACTCGTATCTTCTCTTCAAAGCAAAGTCTATCTCTAGTATCGGAGGAAAAGTCCCTATCTCTCTCTGCAATACCAGCTATATACATTTAGGGTGATAAAAATGGCAATGCTGTTATACAGCTAATATTTTTATAGAGATCTAGGCCGTTGGATTATATTTAGTCCAAGTGATCAGAGCTTTTTATCAGTGGATCTAGTATATCGACCAGCTTCCATGGTTGAAAAGTAAAGTTGTGGCTTTATCCTCATTAACTTACCAATATACCCTCACATTAGCTATATATTGTACTTTACGTTGTTCTACACCACACATACTAGTAGATCATACACATAAATGAAAGGTTAAAGGGCATTTTGGTAATTAAGAAAAATATATGCCGACGGCCTTTATTGGACCGTTGTGGGTAGCCTGCTCCTATTGTTCTACACCACACTTCACTTTCATCAGCTCCTATTAAAATCTACAGCAATATAGTATATAACTGTGTGTATATGTGTGAGTGGGTCTGTGGTTGTAATTTTAAAAATCTTGTCTTGGTTGGCATTGAATGACAAAGCTATATAGAATACTCGTGGGGCTTCTCAGTAGGTACTTGGTATTTGTTTGTCGGGTCTTATTTTCAGAAAACGAGCAATATGAGATGATACAAGATTCTCGAAGCTCCTAATGTTGGCCCTTTCTATATGATTTATTGGAGTTGTTTCGTTTATAATTTATTGATTGAGATTGCAACTGCTCCACGGCTCTTAATTTTCTATCATAGAAATGACATATTTTACTACTTTTCTCATGTTAGATAACTCTTAGAAGGTTTGGTATCTCTAAATTTTACATCTATCATTTCTGACAATCAATTTGAGCCACACCCAGTTTCACATAGATTTCCATCTGGCTCATCTTTTTTAAGTTCTAGTTTTTCCAAATTTGTGTTCTTTGACGCATACTCGGATAATTTTGTGTGAAGATCACATCTTTTAATGTTTTTCTCATCTGATTCATTGCTCTAAACGTTTGGTTTCCATTGATTTCAGTTCTCTCCAGCTCTAATCATCTATTTGATCTACACCCATATTGAAATCATGGTTGAGGATGGTGGAAAAGATGTTTTGGCAGATACCCAGTCAGCCGAGGAGTGGCTGTCACGTGCCCAAGAGCTTGTTCCTCTTGCCCTTGAGAAGGCAAGGCAAGTCAAGGGGTTTCCTGGGAGGTGGAAGATGATAATTTCAAAATTGGAGCAGATCCCTTCGCGATTATCTGATTTGTCAAGCCATCCTTGCTTCTCAAAGAATGCTCTGTGTAAGGAGCAATTGCAGGCAGTTTCGCAGACCTTGAATGAAGCGATTAAATTGGCAGAATTGTGTGTTAAAGAGAAGTATGAAGGGAAGCTTCGGATGCAGAGTGATCTTGATGCCTTGTCAGGGAAATTGGATTTGAATTTGAGGGACTGTGGGCTTTTAATCAAGACTGGAGTGCTTGGGGAGGTGACCTTTTCTTCTGGGGTGGCCAGTTCTTCAGCAGAACCTGAGGCTGCTGCCACACATGGCAATATAAGGGAATTGCTTGCCCGGCTTCAGATTGGACACCTAGAAGCTAAACACAGAGCTCTTGACAGCCTTGTTGAAGTCATGAAAGAGGATGAGAAGAATGTTTTGTCTGTTATGGGAAGAAGCAATATTGCTTCTTTAGTCCAGTTGCTCACTGCAACTTCTCCTCGAATCCGGGAAAAGACTGTCACGTTAATCTGTTCACTTGCAGAGTCTGGGAGTTGTGAGAATTGGCTTGTTTCAGAAGGTGTTCTTCCGCCTCTGATAAGGCTTGTTGAATCAGGGAGCGCAGTGGGTAAAGAGAAGGCTACAATTTCACTCCAGAGATTGTCAATGTCAGCAGAAACAGCCCGCTCAATTGTTGGACATGGTGGTGTACGGCCACTGATTGAGATCTGTAGAACTGGTGATTCTGTTTCACAAGCTGCAGCTGCATGTACTTTGAAAAATATATCTGCTGTTCCAGAAGTGCGGCAAACCCTAGCTGAAGAAGGGATTGTAAAGGTTACGATCGATCTCCTTGATTGTGGAATACTATTGGGATCTAAAGAGTATGCAGCTGAATGCCTGCAAAATCTAACTTCCAGTAATGACAATCTACGAAGGGCTGTTATTTCTGAAGGCGGAATCCGAAGTCTATTGACTTATCTTGATGGTCCTTTGCCTCAAGAATCTTCTGTGGCGGCATTGAGGAATTTGGTTGGCTTGATTTCAGCGGAAGTTTTGGTTTCGTATGGTCTCCTTCCTCGTTTAGTTCATGTTCTTAGATCCGGATCATTGGGTGCTCAACAAGCGGCTGCGTCAGCAATTTGTCGAGTTTGCAGTTCAATAGAAATGAAAAAATTGATTGGTGAAGCTGGATGTATTCCTCTGCTTGTCAAGATGCTTGAGGCCAAAACAAACAGTGCTCGAGAAGTTGCTGCCCAAGCAATTTCAAGTTTAGTGGTCCTCTCACATAATTGCAGAGAAGTTAAAAAGGATGATAAAAGTGTGCCAAATCTGGTCCAGTTGCTTGACCCGAGTCCTCAGAACACTGCAAAGAAATATGCTGTTTCCTGCCTCGTATCACTATCCCCTAGCAAGAGATGTAAGAGGTTGATGATCTCATATGGAGCAATTGGGTATCTCAAGAAGTTATCCGAGATGGAAATCCCTGGTGCCAAGAAGCTACTCGAGCGATTGGAAAAGGGAAAATTGAGACGTTTGTTCAGCAGGAAATAGAAGTAACGAGGGTGTACTAGTATAATGAAAGTATATTTCCTATTATGTTGTCCATGTTTCATTGTCTGTATGAAACAAGTAACCAATGTATGGACTGAAATGCGCAATCTTGCTAATCTATGCAATCAATATTTGTCATTTATAAATATTTATCCCCGTGTTTCTATTGTATAATTGTTTCGTTGTTCCATGGAGATTTTTTGCTTGCATTTCAATTGCTCAGACGTAAGTATGTCATTGAATCATTGGAGACAGTTTTCACTATTTGAGAATTTGCTGCTTTCAATCCCAAAGTTGCTGTGTTTCTACGTTCGCTCTATTGGAGTATGTTACAGCTCCAGCATCTGTAACAAGGTAAGCTAATGCCCATTAATGGATTTCAAACTATATCATTTTCCCTGAATTTAGATTTGTATATCCCTCCTCTATTTGTTGCTTTTCATTCTCTTTTATTATGTTAGGTAACACGGAGCTCTCGAAGGCTAAATTTTTTTGGCGTCTATGGGGTTTACCTGCCACTATTATTGGTATGTCTTATTGCTTTTAAAATGCTGCTTTGAGCCTTTTTATATCAGAAAGAAGAACTTTTTGGAAACCAAATTATTATTTACTTTCACTATGAATGTAATTATATCTTGGGAGCTGACTTTAGAATACCTTGATGGTTAGTTTTTACTGACTTTTTCTTTTTCATTATTATATCCTTGTAGTACATATTATATCTTTGTTTTGTTCATTGTTTTAATCTGTATCTTTTAACTTGCGAGTGTGTTTGGAGTTTCGCATTTTGAGTTTCATTTTATATTTTATATTCTTTTGGTAATAAAATTTGTCTTACTTACTGGGGGAAAAAAGTGCTGATCTGAAAAACAGCCTGATACTTTTTGGTTATGTCTTGTATGCATGGAAGGAAATTGAAGGAGAAACATTGGGAAGGGTAAAGACTATATATATATATATGTATATGTATATGTATGTAAATCAGAACCTAGTGGAAATAGTTATGCTGAATAACTTTTGAACAAAATTGATTTGCTTGCATGCAAGTTTATATGGTTCAAATTAGTTTTGTGCAGAAACCTTGAACAAAATGACCCACATAACAGTAAAATTATTAAAAAGCAAGCACATTTAAGTTTCTTGTGTTCCCCCTGCAGAATCGAAGTTGTAACATTTGGAATTGAAGATTTTAACACTGATCTGGTTGCCCAATTTGCCATTCGAATCCACGTTGATTTCAATTTAAGGAGTGCAAATAATCCTGTTTCTCATTGCCACTTGGAAAATAGCCAACAAATAGTATTGATTGAAAATTTGAATTTGTATGGAAATTTGAAGTTCATGTGGGGTATGTTTTGAAGGAATTGTAGAAATCTTTACTGTATTATTGTCTTTTTATGCAGTATTCCATTTTTCAATTTTTATGGAAATTTTGAAATTCATGTGGGGTATGTTTTGAAGGAATTGTAGAAATATTTATTATATTATCCACATTAATTTCAATTTTATGGTGTGCAAATAATCCTGTCTCTCATCGCCGCTTGGAAAATAGCCAACAAATCACAAAAATGAGATTTGTTTTTGAATAGTATTGATTGAAATTTTGAAATTGTATGGAAATTTGAAGTTCATGTGGGGATATGTTTTGAAGGAATTGTAGAAATCTTTATTGTATTATCGTCTTTTTATGCAGTATTCCATTTTTCAATTTTTATGGAAATTTTGAAATTCATGTGGGGTATGATTTGAAGGAATTGTAGAAATATTTATTGTATTATTGTCTTTTATGTAGTGTTCTCAGATGAATCCAGCTTTTAGTCATTAGAATTGGTTTCTTTTTCAGATGCCTTATTTTGAAAGCATGTTTAGTATTCTTAGAGGTGATCCAAGACTTGAATTGTCAATTTTATGACCACCACCATCATCATCATCAGTTACTTGATGAACGTGATTGAAGACTTTTTGCCTACAAACTTGTCAAATCTGTTCTCAGTTAAATGAATTGTAGTACTTGTTTCTGAATTCTCTCTCCTATCATGCTTTCACTCGGATTTTCTGTCAATTTTCTTGGCAACCAAAAGGAAAATGAGAATGCTGCCAAAGGATTTACCCGCTAAAGCCTTTTGATGAAAAAGAGATTTCAAACATTGTGTTTTGTTCTGCTATGGTAGCACCATCAAATATTGGAAAAACTGACGTGACGTCAAACATTTAATTTTGAACTCTAAATTAGTGCTTTCATTCATAATTATGGGGATAAAATGAATAAAAATAATTATTTCTCTATATATAATAAAATATTATATTATTATTTTTTGACATATCAATATCATATCCGTGTTCTTTTTTTTTGGGAGATTTGTCATATAGACTATCCGTGCTTCCTAGACTTCCTCTAAATGCAATCATAAGATGCTTCCTAGACTTCCTCTAAATGCAATTATAAGAGTTCAAAGTTCTTCTAACAGGGTAATTCAAACATTTAAAAGCCAAATATGCACATAGTCTTACTTCTATAAATAATGTAAGTGCTTTTTATACTTAAATCTCAATAATTGAATTGAGGACAATAGTGTCATTTCACATTTGGAGTGTTTTTATAAAAACAAATGGAGTGCATTTATTACCTCCATAGTCTTAAAACTTTAGATTATATATGTATATATTTTGTAGGTAAATTAACTTATACAACTTTGATTATATATGTATATCTATTGTAGGTAAATTAACTTATACACATGTACCCGGAGGTTGAACCATCAATTTCCAAGTTGGGAGATGCATACATTGTATATCCTAATCCAAGAATAATTGAATTGTTTAGTTCCACCCTCTACAGATCAATACAACTGAACAAATTCTAATGGAGTGAGGAGTCATCTTATTATCGTTTTCATTTGATTGATTGGTGAGATATGTATTAAACACAATAAACTTGCATCATATTAATCTAATCAACATTACACATATCCCTTTTTAATCCTTATTTTCATTGACATGATCATATTAATAAAAATACTATTGTTATTTTTCTTGATAAAATATGTTCTGTTCATTAGTAGACTTTAGATGCTTGAAATTCACTTTTCCGTATGTAGAATAATATATATATATATATATATATATATATATATATATATATATATATTTTACTATGCAAATTTATAATATAATAATATAATTAGAATCCTAGTCTAACATAAAAAGAGTTGAAATTTATAATAAAATAATATAATTAGAATCCTACTCTAGTCCTTCTTCAGTAAGGATATACATCGGTCACTTTTAGCCAATCATTGCACAGAGAATGTTTTGACCTTTTTTATATGAATGGACCAATATACCCTTGCCACCTTAGCTGTTTAGTCCTCTAATGTACCAAAAATTACACCTCAAAGCACCGCCGAGACCGAGACCGAGACCGAAACCGAGACCGAGACCGAGACCGCACTTGGTTGATAACCAATTCTCTTCGATCCCCAATCTGCTTATAATGTTGTGGTGCAACTTGAGGTCATAACCAGCTGAAGCTGCTTTGATTTAATTTAACTGATGGTTCACAACTGTGAGATGTATCCATCTTGGAGTTTGCTTCAGAGCAATTTTCCGATAACATCACCTCATTTTGACAGTTGATTTCTACCCCTTTCTAATAGTAATACATGCTGCATTTATACTTCTTATTCTTACATCATGAACTTGATTTACTTACTGATTCATTACATTGCCTCCAAATGCAAGTCTGATGAATATACAAGTTATATAAACATCCACACACACACACACACACACATACACATGCATATTTATATATTTTTATACTTGTCCTGCTGCCTGATACAATTGTTAGGGACATATTAATTTTTGAAAATAAAGATGAAACCATGCTTCCTAACCAGCCTCACATTAAAAATTAGGGAGCACATGGTACTGCTGATCTTTGTTTGCATTATCTTTCTTCTTTTTGTGTTTTCACTGGCAAATTGGTGAAAAAGGAAAACACATTAATGCAATGTTGCTATGCTATTATTTTTCAAATTGTTGTCTTGCTACAATTAGTTAGAAAAAATAGATATATATATATATAGATGTATATGTATATGTATATATGTATATATGTATATATATATTTTGTCATGCTTAACATGGCCTGAACCAAACAAGCATATAACACCCATATAACACATTTACATTGATTATTTAACACTCCCGTGTAACACATTTAAATTGATTATTTAACACTCATACAATATACTACTTGTGTAGTCTATTTGAAGCACAATGCATCCAAAATTGCACCTGAGAAAATCCTGATTCCATATGGATGTAAATACGAAGTCATCAATCAACCATTTTGCACTACTCTTTGATTCCAAAAGTCGAGTTGGTGGTTGTGTGCTACAATTTTTTTTTTTTTTTTTTTTGTGGAAGATAGTTCTCCGTATAAATAAAAATAAAAATACAAATTTGCGAAAGTGAATACGTTACCTAATGTCCATTTGTAGTGCCAATCTACAAGTTGACACTTATCCTTTTTACACTTATTGATTCAAAATGCAATGACTTATTTTCTTTTTTAAGAAAAGGAGAGTGGGCTAAAAAGAAAAGAAAAAAATAAATACAGTAGAAAGGCAGTCATTTTCCTTTTTCTCGAAAAATATTCGTAAAAATATCTATTTTACTGTTGGTGATGTGACGCTGTAAAGGATTCTTAATGCTTTTTATTGAATTAAAAGGGGAACTCAACAAGACCACAAAGTGTGATGTAACTTGATATTCATAACTTGTGTGAAATATTTGAATATTCTCAAAATTCACGTAATTGAGCTCTGGGATTTGCAAGCAAACTTGAAAGCTTTCAGTATGGTGTGACATCCAAGTAAAACCTGTAAAAGCACCTAATAGATTACCATAAGATAATGCAATATTTCATTTAACATATATATATATATATATATATATATATATATATGAGGATAACTAATTGTGTTTGCTCTCCATTTGAGAGATGGTAATCATAGGTTTTATAACAGTAAACACGTTTGACACCTACACATGAAGGTAAGATTACTAACGGTGTCGAGTTCACACAGCTGTGGGGGGATTTGGCAGAGCTGAGAAATTAACCGAGAGCGATATTCAGATGAGGGAAGCCGAAAAGAAAATTTGTTACAGAAATTCAGAAAATAAGCATTTCATCCAAGTCATTGTCCTCTTCATCCCATTCCAAAGCCTCCATCGCATCGACATCCACACCTGGTGCATTTCCACGCAACATATTTAGCAACTGCTCCAAATTTCTATGCACCCAATTTGATGGCGTCGCAGGCAACTGAGAGGGATCACCAGGCTCATCCCCGGGAGGAAGGTAAGTCAACAAAAATTTTCCAGAGCGATCAATGATTTTAGCATTAAATGGTGGACATAATGACCGCCCCTTAACTTGAACATGTGACACACTGCAATAAAAGGCAACAAAGATTAAGAACTAGTCATGATGTTCTACATAAATTTTTTTGTCATGGATCAAATGTTCTCCATAAATTTTAATATAAAGGAGACAATAACAACAGTGTGATCAAATGATCTAAAATAAACCATTTTAAGTTGCTATCAAACGAGACAAGAACAACAGTGTGATTAAATGATCTAAAATAAGTCATTTTAAGTTGCAAAGATAGCCTCCACATAGGATTAGGACACAATGTAAAGGTCATTTTTTCTTGTTTTAAATTCAACGATTTGGGTCAAGAAGACATGGTGATGGTGACCCCTAATAGGTCCATGCATGGTGACCCCAATGGGTTCAGTGCTGCCATGCTTGTGGCACAATTCAGTATCGGTCTCAAAATGCAACAAAATACAAAACCACATTTGACAATTTAAAAAATACAGTACAACAGAAAATATTGATCGATAAACAGTTTTTGAGCAATCACATTTATACAACGAACAATATGGAACATTTAAGCAAAGAAAACACTGGAGGCGTCAAGGAAAAACATTAGAGGTTTCATTAGATTTTTTTTCATTCCACATATCAGTGGATTTGTAATTACTCAATCTGTTACATAACATCTGACCAAAACCAATACCCATGGCATTGACCAAAACTATAAGCCGGTATTGTGGCTGAGCTCAAAACCGTGCATTTTTCTGAATGTTATATAAACAGAGGTTCGGTGCAGAGACATTATTATATAGGGTCTTATAAGGGAAATTAACATGTTGATAAGCAGAACCGTCAACGGGGTGTGATTAATAATGGGCAAAAAATAAAAATTATTCTACAGGGTTTTGAATCTGGCAAGAGAAACTAGCATGTTAACAGGCTGAAAAAAAACCCACATTATGATGTGTAAGGATTACCAAACTATCTGACTGGGAAAAATGAAAATACGTGACTGACCATATATAGAATAAGCCATCCATTTGTTGTCTCTGAACCCTACCCAACAGTTCGATTTGTAAAAATCCACCAATGCAAAGAACAGGTTCCGGCAGTTCGAACGTCTGTAAGCGATTTTCCTGTTTGCAGAAAAGTCAGTTAAATATCTAACTATTCTAAGATGAACATATGAGCATCTACGCCAAAAGGAAAAATGGCATGTGAAACAGGCGAAAAGGTGAACAATGTCATAAATCAGCTAGATGTTAAGGAAGACATTTCAAGCAGATAGACATAAATCGTAGTAATTAGTCATCGTGGCTAAATGCCAACTTCAAATGAGGTTCCTAACAATTACAGGGACTGACCTGTGGCTTTGATTTGAAACTAAACTGCCTTCCTGTTAAAGCTGCTGGATGGACGGAGTTTAACAGAATTTATGCTTTTTATATTGGCCCTTAAAATTTAACAGATTTTTTTAAAATCAAGAAACACGTAAATACACCCTCATCATTTCCCCCAATTTATCACTCCAAGCTCCAACAAGAAAAGTCAAATAAAAATCCCATTCACCACATACTACCTCCACACCCAACATGAACCAAAGCTAGGAGCTGTCAACTCCATCATCAACCCAAAACCCCACCTCACAACCTTATTTGAAAATCACCCATCATCACCAACGTTCCAGAAAAAACACCACCACCACCCACAGCATTTAACCAGCCCCACCATTAAATCAAAACCCAAACAACAATTAACAAAAACAGCCACTTTAAGCTATCTCCATCCATTTCCTTTAGTCACCAACCAAACCGATGTTATCACCATTCCAGTGCAAAAACACAACCAACATCCACAACGCCTAAACACCCACGTGATTCAACCAAGACCTGACTAGCAATTAAAAACCATTGCCGCCATTCCCACCAATTAAAAAACACCCCCACCTAGTGCAAAAACACCACCAACACCCACAGTAATTGTGACAACCGCCATAAAAAGACAAAGAGGAGGATTCATCCGTTCAGTAGCAGGGCCATAGTGAGAATGGTGCAGTTGCTGCTGATTAATGTAAAAAGCTCAAATGATACTGTTGTGGTGATGGGGAAAAATCAAGTTCGGGCTGAAAGGTTTGAATTTAGGATAGTTAAATCCAAACCCTGCACTGAATTTAAATGTTGATTTAAGGGAAGAGGCAAAATAATTATATCAATTTCAACTGGAATGTTACTGGTGATTTTGCATTTAATGAAACGTTATAGTGATCGACCGGTGGCTTTGGGGGGTGGTGTAGAGTGAGAGAGAGAGGAAAGCATGGCACTTGTACCTCTCTACCACCTGAACAATCACGAGAAACCGCGACCATATTTACCTGGCTTCTGCAACAGTGGTGCCGATTAATGGACTCATTGACTCCGTGTCCACCGGAAGTCAGTAACCTTCGTCACTGTCAGCATTTAGTACTCTCTCGATAGCTTCAATAATTCACAGAAAGCCTTTGGTGTAATGAACTGCAAGCCCTTCAGAAAGAAAGACATAATACAAAAAGAAAGGTTTGGTTGCAGGAACCGACAGTAACTAAGGTTACAGGGCCGATGCTGCCGGTTACCGGGAACCACAAGGTTACCGGATTTTAACTATTCCACGTTTAACTAAGGTTTGGGAAATTTGAAAGATAACACAAATATCAAGTCATCAACAGAAAGAAAGTGATTCGAACCCTCTGTACGAATAACTCGTACAACAGAAATAGAAGCTCCGGGCTGGTCATCTCGCCTGCTCAAAAAATGAGATGACAGGAGCACATTCATGAAAATAAATTAAGCCTTGTAGATGTTGATTAGTGTGCATATAAAATCCTGGACAAGGTACTAAAAGTGGTACACATGTAAAAATAAGAACATATGTAGGAGTTTTTATATAATGTAAAACTTATGTAACCAAGTTTCGAAAAGATTATCCTGATAGCTAAGCACGGATTTTTCTTGATGGAGTTGCCTAACACACTTCTTTTCTGAACACATGGGAGGACATATATGGCATGTTTTATTGCAACCACTCAGAGAAACCACAGTGAGACGAAAATGGGTTAGTCAACCCTATTCTAAGCTGAGTTTGAACATGGTTTACCAAGCTCATGGCAAGCATGAGCGAACATTGAACACAATTTTATCAACCGAGCAGGTTGAACAGCCTAGTTTTCAGTCTAAGTTTATTTGCAGCCCTAGGTACAACATGGACAGTTTCTTATCTTTCTTAAGACATAATTGATCTTATAAAGTTGTTCCTCCAAAAAAAATTAATCTCCAAATACCCCGAAATCATTAATTGTAGAACTATTATATATTAAGTGAAAAAAAGGCAAACCCAGTGCAAGAGGCTCCCGCCATTGCAGCAGATATACGCAACCTTACCTCCACTTGTTTCCTTGCTTTGAATTCGTGACCTCTAGGTCACAATGGAGCAACCTTGCTGTTGCGCCAAGGCTCGCCCTCATATTAAGTTACTTTATGATTTTCATCAACAAAAAGAAAAATTCATAATTATAAGATTATCAACATAAATATAAGAGATGCATACACATTACATACTTCCAAGAAAGATCAGCTTTTTTCTAAAAGGACTCATTAAATATAATACAAGGTAAAAAAGAAATTCCAAATCTCCATCTTTATCACTTGCAAATTAATTAGAGGGTCCATCACCCAGTGTGGTCCCCCAGTAAATCAAGGGTGTGGTCCCCGTTAATATAGGGTGTTGGGACTTGGGAGGGGTGGACCAGATGCAAATTAGTAGTGCTGGAAACTTTTATAGTAGATACACATATATACATAATTTTCTATCTAACTAAGACACTACCAAAAAAAATCTAAAAATTTATTAGTTACAAGTAATAGAACTATTAATTATCCACCACATAAAGAATATGGTTTGTCAAACACATATTAATTAATAGACATTATTCAGTTATAAAATATTAAAAAATTGGATGGTTAACCGTAGACCTTTTTTACTAAATAAGAGCTAAATAGGTTTCCCAACCAAACTATAACATGTCATTATTTCCATCATTGTCGATACAATAGACTAACAGAAGGAGAAATTCACTACCAACAAAAGTAAAAGAAAAAGTAATTTCAAAAATCACAATGGAGATCCATGTGAATATCTGTGTAATTTCCCCTAGTACCAGTAAGGGTGACAACTTAACACTTGTTTGACCTTAAAAAAAAAAAAATACACTATTTTTCAACTACTGTAAGCTGTCTGGATTTCAAGTTACGAGTTATCCGTTGAAACAGTTAAAAGCCGTTACAAGCAAATTGGCAGACAACTCTTAGCTGGTAAACAACACATATTCATACTATGATCAAGAACAAGAGAAGGAATTTATTGTTTTGCAAAACAATATTCAGGTACAAAAATTCACCTGAGTCATTGGGAACTCTTGTGAAGTATATGTCCAGACAAACTTATCATCAGCTGGTTGCTGCAATGGCAAATCAATGAGATCACTTCCCATATCCATTGGAGATTTGAGATGACCCACCCGAAATCGCACAGATTTGGCCGAGTATATGGGAAAGCCCCACTGAAAGTAAGCTGTATAGGGCCAAAAATTTATCACAACAATAGGCATTTCAACCGTAAAAACACAGTGAAAGAGTACATTACTATTTGTGGAGATTTTCAAAACAATAACCTTGGAAAGGTTGTAAGCTGATTTCAGTAACAACACAAAGTTCGGCCGTTAATTTATATATTAGCGTCTCAGGCACAGCAGGATTACTCTGTCCTGTGCTCGACCAATATGAGGCCCTTCGGTGAATTCTGTCCCTTGGATCTAGAGTATGAAGTATGCTTTCTTCTGGATAATTGTCAGTACTCGAAGCACTAATAGCCTCCGCTATGCAGTCACTTTCTGCAAATGTTGTGAGGGCTCGAACTAGAGAGGCATAGACCCTGTGGTCGCTCTCAAGAGTGCCCCATTCCATGGAAATGCTTGATCCAACATTCACAGGTTCTTTCACCTCATGGCTTGGATCCATGACACAAGCAACACTAGAAAATTGAGGAAACATTCTCAAACACAACTGCTTACAAAGTCCATTTGCAATCACTGCAGAAAAAAACAAAGCCATCAGTATTTCTCAGCATTATCTATTCTTTTCAAAACCAACAGACCAGTTATCTCAAATTTCCTTAGCCTTGATATGCTTAGAACCACAAAACAATTTAACCCATAGAACATAAGAATTATGTGATAAGAGGAAACATAATCCAAAAAAATAATAATAATTATCTTTGGGGGTTTCAGGTCATGCAGACACTAGGAGGGAGGGCAGAACCAGAAAACTTCTTCATTGAACAAAGGTAAAAATAATGTAGGCTAAGCCAGTATGAAAGACATGGTTGCCTATGTAACACTAAAGGTAAGAAAAAAAAAAAAAAAAAAAGTGAACAATTTGTTTCCTACGACTCTAAACAAAGATTCAAGAAAGGTTATAAAAAATAAAATATAAATAAATATATAAGTACTCTCTGTGGCTTTATTAAATTCTTAAGCACGGGCTGATTACCTTAAGCTGCATTGATTGACTGGAAGGAAAGGAAATGAAAAGAAAAATATAACTGGTTTCCTTTCACTTTCAATGTGTGTGGTTGTCAAAAGTTTTGTAACAATTTTCCTAAAAGAAAATCTTTCCGCAAATCCTGTCCTGTACATATTACAAGATTACACAACAGGGGAAGTTTCAGCTTTAGTGGTGTTTGGGATTGCTTCTCTACCGATGAAAAGCACTTTCATTTCAAAAAATTGCGGCTAAATATGTTTGGTGAAAAAATAAAGCACTTATAAGTGGTAGAGGTTGTCAAAAAAACGCGTTTAAGTGAAGCTAGGAATTGTAGCTTTTAAAATTGCGTTGCGTATAGAGGGTTATCATTTTAGGTAACTAATTTTTTTTAGACAATGTAATCCCTTTCTTTTTTTATAAATACAATTTTGTCCCTGTTACAAACAAATAGCAAACGAATATCCTAATTTTTCTAGAACTCTACAAACATTATATTATTAAATTTCATTTTTAGATAGCATATGAATGAGTTTGCTTATTTTACTATATTATTTGAAGATCCCAAATCAAATACAAATTAATAATCATTAAATTATGTTTAACTTATTAATATTTTAGTACTAAATAAAAATAGTATATCATAAACAAAATATGTGATATTTAAAAATAAAAAAATAAAAACCAATACAAGTTGATCTTCATAAATTATTGAACGCAGTGGAATTTTATAATATTTATGCTGTGTTCGGTAGGAAGGAAAGAAGAGGGGTGGAAGGAACAAATTTCCTTTGTTCGGTAGAGATGATATAAGGAAAGAAATGATAATAGGATGCTCCTTCACAATTTTTCATCCACCAAAATATGGGTGGAAGATAGGAGAGAAGACAAGTGAGCCTATTATAGAAGTTTTAAATTACTACATCACCCTTCATAAATATTTAATAAATCCCATAAATAAAGTAGTGATGGGTTTAATGGTAAAAACAACTTAAAAATTTATTTTTCCTTTTATCCTACCAATCAAATTAAATTGTCAGCTTTTTCCATTCTCTTCCATCCAACCGAACAAAAATAGGGAAACACTTAATCTCTTCCCTAGGGATATCTCAATCATCCCTTCTTCTCTCCCTTCCATTCAATTTTTTTCCATCTTACCGAAGGGAGCATTAATATTAAAAAAATAACACATGTTTATTAGTGTAGGGGGGTAATAAAGTAAAATAAGTAATAAAAGTGCTTTATGCAACATTATTACCAAACAAATTTAAAATTGCTTCAAGTATAAAATGTGCTTTATCCAATGTGTTACCAAACGGATAACTGCGTCTTACTGACAACACTTTTATGACAACTCTACTACTAAAAGCACTTTCGACATTCTAATAACAATCCCAAACGGGCTCTTACTCTCCTACAAACTTTCACAAATTAAATAGAAGTAGGAAAAACATCTTTTCATATTTTTCCTTAATTTAATTTTCTAAGGAATCAATTTGATGCATAATATTCCGAACAACCAAACGAAGTTTTGAAGTTTCTAATCATGTAGCCCTTCAAAAAAATAACAATATGGCACGCATAAGTCATAACATAAATCCTGAATCCAACCGATCAATTGTTAGCAATTATGCTTTCTAATTACTAAAATAGTTCATAGAAGGAAACTGTGGTTGCTAAGCCAGTAGATTCAATATAATTAATGAGCAGCTAACATATTTAAGAGGAAGGCCTTCACAAAGACTCAAGCAAATAACTTTCTCCGGCTTAACTTCACAAAGACTCAAGCAAATAACTTTCTCCAGCTTAATCTACTATAAATGGGAGGAAAGGAAAGGAGTAGATTGTCTTTCCGCAATGAGAATGAAGGCAAATTCCACATCTTGTATGATTTAGAAAGACAAAAAATTCAAAACCTATGAGCTATAAGGATCCGGACACATAACAACATAATCAGCCTATTTGGGAATTGGGGTCTTAATAGTTCAACTGAAACTTCTTTTTTCCCCTTTTTGGACAGGTGAGTTACTTAAGTTGTGTTGAATGTAAATAATCTACAGGGAGCAGGGAGCCTTTCTTGTTCCCCAGTTCACTAATCTTTTGCTTGTTAGGAAATTTTCATTTTGCCAAGTTAAATTCATGATTGTAATTGAGGCCTTGCAGCTTGTTTCACATTCATTTTTCGTTTATAATAGTATCAATTATATACCCCAAAAATTATTGGAATATGGTGTCATTGCTTTCTATTACAACTAGAAGCACAATGTGAGATGTGATTGTGTGTGTGTATAATTGACTGGGTATTAAGGGATTAGTCCCAAATGGTGACCAGCCCCCTAGGCAGAAAAGGTGGATTGACTTTCTTTATATGTAAATTATCATTTTAAAGTGGTGTGGTGTCATTATTGCATCACCACGAGCATGCAATAAGACTTGAAATCACATAAACACTATCTCCCAACCAAGCTGAATGCTTGTTTGCAACTTTGCTTTCAGTTAATGTTATTTTATCACATTAAACTCTAACATAGAGCCTTACCTATGTGCAAATTGTAAATGGGTCAATGGGACAAATTATTAATCTTTACGACATCTTTTGGATTTTGTGGATAGCTTGAAATTATAGTGTCACTTTGGCGTTTTTCGTATTCCTTTGGGAGCGCTCCCCTCTTGAACGTCTTAATGACATCTTACTTTTCAAAAAAAATATATATATATATACCTATGAGCAAATTTAGGTCATTTTAGAATTTCAATACTGGACTAGTGTTTTCCTCAAAGGCTGATCATAATGTTTATTCCACCAATACAATCCCCCAAACTTGAATATATCAAGATGAAATGAAACTATTCCAAGTCTCAATAAGCCACGTCATTATTAAAATAAAATGAATAAGATTTAGCACCGCGCAATTCACCTATTTTCAAGTAATGATATAAATTTAGCATGTCCATGAATTCTCTAAGTTTCAAAGCTATGTTACATGAACAATATCATATGTGTTAGGTGTGGGTGCGAACAGTGACAGAGACGGGAATTTATTCTATATGACACATTGAGCATGATAAAAATAAAATAAAGAAAATAAAAATCCAACCAACATGACAACTAATAGTGCTCCAAATCAAAAAATAGAAGTGCAGTAAAAGATTCAAATAGTGTCACAATTTGCAAAAAGAAAAAAAAAAATAAAAAAAAACAGTAAAAAAATTCAACATCATAAAATACTAAAGACATTATCTCCTCCACCTTCTTAAGTGGAAGGTTGAGGCAAAAGTGGGTTCGTTAATTACAACTAGAGGAAAAAATGAAAGAAGAGAAAAAATAAAAATAAAAAGAGGAAAGAGAGAGAGAGAAGGTTACTGCACATTCACATGCATGAGTGCAACAAGAAGAAATTTTAAGGAGAGAAAAATAAAATAAAAGAAAAGAAAAGAAAAATGAGAGAACTTTGAAGGAGAAAAATTAGGATTTGATTGGAGAATGGGAATGCAACAACATTTTTTGAAGGAATCAAAGAAAGTTGAAGGAGAAGAAGAAGAGTAGAAGAGCAAAAGAATGGAAGAATTAGAGAAATATTTAGATTCCCCAAGCAAGCCCAGGTTTTTTCCATCTGTTCAATGGCTCCTTAGTGAACACCCTTATTGTTTATTTTTTTATTTTTATATTATTCTTTATTTCCTAGAGTAAAATGATATGTCAGATAACACAATATTCAACATGGCACTTCACCTGTGTTTGAAGTAATGATATAACAAGGGAACAATAGGCATAACTATATAATAAGCTTGTTATTGAATGTGATTGCCAGGGATGTATTTAACTAGACATGCCAGATGCAATATTACATCACCATCCCAAGTGTTGAGTATCCTCCAACATGGATACTTCACCTCATTTGAAGAATTATGTAACATAACTTCAATAGGAAAAGAGGAGAGGGCGGGAGGGAGGGGGGGAAATATATATATATATATCCAAGGGATTCTTAAAATTTTGGGTTCCGGGGGGGGGTGGGTTGGTGGTTGGGTTTGTTCAAACCATTGAGGAACAATTTATGCATGGCATGGTATTCTATTTTAAGGACATAGAACTTACTTCAAAGAAATATATATATATATATCCAAGGGATTCTTAAAACTTATCCAAACCTTTGGCCACTTTTTCGCTACTAGTGTAACAAAATGAAGGTTTTGATAAAATTATATGCATAAATATAGTATATATCTATTAGTCATAATAATATGTTATATAGACTTACTTTTCCTCACTATGGGTCTTTTTTCAGTATTATTATGATTATTATTATTAAAAAAAAAACCTACTATGTCGATATGCCTGCACACCATAGAACCCATAATCCATGCCTATGTCCATACTCCATGCAATATAGAGATAGAAGTGCCACGTGGAGGGAACATCTATCTGTGCATTTTTTTATGGGGCACTTTCCTGCGTTAACTTAATCTTGCCACGCTAGCTTCCAGACACCTCTTCTATCCAAATAAATGTTCTACAAATTCAATCATGGTGATTCTAATTACAAACTAAACAAAGGGAAACATGCATGCACAAGGAATAGACCAGAAAAGACAACAATAACAACCTCAGAGTCAGAGCCCAAAAACTTACAGTGCTGGATTTAAACCCAAAATCCTCCTCTCCTCCAGTCAAATTGAATCCTCACTAAAATACAATTGGAAAACCAAAATCCTCCTCTCCTCTCCTCCAGTCATTTTACAATTGGAAACTCAAGATTGAAAAAATATATCTTCCTCTAGAAGGCATGAAAGACGACCCAAATGTATTTGTTAATAATGCTCAACCAAGAACCTGATATTCCCCATCGCCCACTGAGGCGTTGTCTCATAATTTCATTGCCACTTCAAAATGCAAGAATAAGCAATCAACTAAGTACCTTATCATCATGATTTAAGATATCTGATGCACCAACTCAAAAATATGAAAAACACTTTTCCAACTATATGTGATGCTCACTAGGCTACTTCTCAAAACATCCCCTATGGCAATTACTTGTACAGTTATTCCCTCTTAAATAGACCTTCAGATTCAACAAAATCTCTTATTTTTCTGAAGAAAATTTTGCAATCAAGGATGTGTTCTCCTAGATTCCTACTGGTTTCAAGAAAAATCTGTGTCGCGTACTTTAGATATGACACACTGATTGGATAAATTTATAACCAATTATATGTGGAAGGAATAGTTCATGATAAATTGTTAAAAGTTATTCTCCTTGACCTCCCCATAAGAAATTCCTAACAAAGCAAAACCATGGCTCAGTTTTTCTTATGGCCGTGTTTGCCACCCTGAATTTACCATGGTACACCCCTCTGGTAATTTGAGCTCTCTCCACCACTGCTGCCACCCCCCACACACTCTCCCCTCTCCATAACCAAGACCACCACTGCCCAGCCACGCCCACATTCTCTCTCCTCTCTACTCTCATACATATATGTATGTATGTATGTGTGACCCATGTTATATATATGATCTGTAACGATTTAGATCTATACATACACTATCTAAAATTTACAATCATAAACATATATGGGTTGTCCAGTGGGATTCCACAAGTAATCGGGAAGCTTCAAAACTTTGAATACACTAGTTCTTCAGGTGAATGCATGTTAGGACAGTTAGCTCCTGAGCTTTGTCAGTTGAAGAACTTGAAATCTATGGATTTGTCTAACAACAAGTTGTCCGGCAAAATGCCAACCTCATTTGCTGATCTGAGTAACTTCACCTTTCTCAATATGTTTCAAAACAAGCTTCGTTGGTCACAACTAGAGTTCAAGGGTTGGACATTGATCACTCTCACCAACTTCTTGTTTAGTCCGATTTACAAATCTCTTGCTTGGTACGATTCACTGACTCGGATTCGAATGGGAGAAGTATCTTAGTGTGCCGATTCTGCATAGGGGCTGTTTAGCTTGCCTAAACTTGTACAAGTTGAGCTTCAAGACAATCTTCTCTCGGGAGGGTTTCCTGCGTGTCAATCTAGGGGCGATTAGACTGTCGTATAGAAATAGTAAAGCTTTCTTTTTTTCACTTCTATCTCCTCCCCCCTTCTCTCCTTGTCTCTCTCTCTCTCATCTGAAATGTCATTAACCTAAATTTCCAGCTTCTTCTTCTTGACAGAGAACCAAGAGAGGAGAGAGGAGGAAGGTGGTAATTGACGTAATGGAATAAATTATTGGAAAAAAAATATATATATATATCATGAAAAATAGGGTTAAATGTTTTAATTTTACAATCGTTAATAGGAATAAAGGAGTAAATTTCTTTCATTGAAAGGCACTTTTCGTATTTGAAAGAAATTGTTTAATGGCATTAATGATCCTTTAACAGAATGTGAGTTTACTCTGATTTCACTAAACCTCAGGGGACGTTGATCAAATTTTTTTCAAAAATTTGGATCCAATGGTAATTAGCCCAAACGTATTGGGAATGGGTAATTTAACCTAAATTTTAATGTTAAAATAGATATACAACCATGAATTTCTTCTCGTGTTCAGTACATTGAGTATGATCTCAAAAGAACAAAGTATATGGACATTTTGACCAACTCAAATGGCACATACACTATTCACTTCTCTTAAAGGAGGTAATCCTTCACTTACACTTCTTTATGATTAACACAGTTCCAATATTTATATCCTCTTCTTCATGAAATTTATAAGAAATTATTCATGAACTAATTTGTTAATCCAAATTTCTAAGTTATCTCATCCATTTCAACCATGGTTAACAACGTGTATGCATGTATGTATGGATATATCATATATGTATATATATGTGTGGTTATTCGTGTATCAGTGTTATCAAAAGTTCAAGGCGCTAGAGGTCCTTTGGAGCCTAGGTGCAATGCGCAAGGTGAGACGCGCGCATGAGTGAAGCGAGACGCACGCATGAGTGAAGCGAGACGCACAATTGAAAAATTAAATTACTATTAAAGCATATTCATAATCCATATTAAAGGCGCAAATGTTGTCATAGTCACACCTGGGCACACAACATGAACTAGTGTTGAGCTTATATGAGCCTGGAGCCTAGGCATACATTTGACAACACTGTGATGTATGAATGGTACTGGAAAATGTCTCAAACTGTACTTCATCATTAATAAGAATGATGAGACAAAACCAAAGCATAAAAAACTATATCACCAATCAGCATTCCAAATGCACTGTGTGGTAAGCTGGATAACAATTTGTTTAACATGATCATCTAGATCACCAGCACTGTTCAGTTTCAAACCAGTAAAAGTAAACATGCCAAATAAGCACATCATAAAAATTAAAGCTAGTCAGAGAAATGTCCAAAAACATTATAATAGATGTATAAAACCATGTGCTCATAGAAACAAATGCACATGAACCATTGTAGCATGTAATTGACAATTCAACAAGTGTAACTTACCAAAATGGCGCCAGAAGCGCGAGACAGAGCTAGCACGGATGAGATCAGATGGATCATCCAGGCACGTTAAAATCTTTAGTGACATGTCAGTTTGAAGCCATTGCAAGAAATCAACAGGAGCATCCATTTAAAATGATCAACCAGGATTATATCAAAGGCCGTCGTCTTTTCAAAACTCAAAACCTGATTTAACATTGCGGTCACAAAATTAGAGCATTAAAAAGAACATATAACCCAAAATTCAGACAGAAAAAATATATAAAAACTGATGAGTTCGATCGCATTCTTGGTCATTGAACTTGATATGCATTACAAATTTATTATCTAAAAGAAAAAAGAAAAAAAAAATCGTATTAGAACACTGAAGTGATAACATTATAGCAAATTATAAATTAATAGCCCACCATAAATCTATGGTATAAATTGAAACTTTCTGGGCGTTTACGAATTACGAGGATAGTAATTGAATGGCTCAATTGATTTTTTTTTTTTTTTTTTGGTCGATTTCATCTGAAAGGGACCATTTGAGATAAAAATAATGGAAAAACTAAAAGAATAGGATTCTCAAATTTATAGCATGAATTTTTTCCCAGAAAGTTAACAGTTTATGATCAAAATCCGAAAATACGACGAATATACTGGCAAAAAACAAAATTGCAGAGAGTGATCAAATTCAGAGATTCAATTCCGTACGAACATCAACTGAACATAAAATTTATAACTGTGCTAGCAGATTTTCGAACTAAAAATTGCATAGGTTAGAGAAAAAAAAGACCAGAGCACACAAATCCAGAGAGAGGGAGTGTGTTTCGCGAAGACAGACACGCTGTTACAAAAAGGTACGGATTTTACCTTTATCACGCAGAAAAAAGGTGTATCTCAAGCCAAACGCCCAAAAGAACCCTAGAAAAAAAGGATCTATTCATGTACGTGGATATGTGTATATATAGGTACTGTATATAAAACTTGTAGAGAGAGAAGGTAGAGGCGTTGCAGTGTCTTACAAAAGGGGTTATTGTCGCCCACCGATTAATTATTCCGGAAGACGTAGATGGAGACATTTTGCTGGAGGTAATCTATATGGTTTTATATAAATATGTATATATATATCTTACTCCAATGTAAATCAATGTGACACTCCATTATTATAACCCAAAAATCGAATGTAACTAAGTGTCCTTGTCCAAAAACTCCGTACTTGCCAAAATAATGAAATATATACTCACTTAATTTGAAGCAATTGAATAGTTGGCCCAAGCCCAATTAGAAGTGTAATTTGAAAAAGTTGGTCAACCAAAACAGTATTTAGATGGTTTTGGATATGTATATATAACTCATTAAAAGACTACTCCGTACAGGATAGCGACAACAACCAAAACTATTCTGGGATAATGGTTCTGTAATAATCATTGGAGAAATTTACCAATTCGTGACAGATTATTTCTCTTTTTTTTTTTTTTCTCCCTCCACAATTGTACAAAATCTATCATTTATAGATTATTATTTATTTATTCTTCTTACATACTCAAAAGTTTAAATTAACAATTAATAGATACGATTATAAGGTGTTAAAGTATCAAATCTAATTTATTTAGGTTTCAAAACATTACAAAATAAATGGGAAATGATACCATGTTATTAGATCTTTCACTTATGCTGTATGGACTTGTTTTGTATCAAAGTATGGACTTGTTTTGTATCAATTTCTCAAAGGCTCATATTAAATAAATATTCAACTTGAATTTCAATTATCAAGGACTTGTGACTTAATGTATCTTCGTACTCGGTGGTGAGAATTTGAGTTTTTAAAAAATATAATGAGTATATGAGTAGTGTGTATTTTTTTTGCTGATGAAAAAAATATATATATATATTAGCTGAACCAAATACCAGTAAAAAAAAAGTAGCTGAACCAAATACCAGTTATAGTTTTTAAATTTCTTGTCCTTTTTTGCAAGAATGAACACATGATGTCTATTTCACAGTGGTCACCAAGCTTTTGAAGATGGGAATATTATTCAATCAGGAACGGGAACCTGCCCTTAATTTTTGGACCTTTTCTTTTTGGCTAGATTCACAAGAATCGATACTTTTCAAACTTATCTAAATTATTTGACTAATTTTTCTCAAAAGTCCCTTGATTTTTATCAAACATGTTCCAATTATTGACTAAAAAATATAAAATACAAAGTCAAATCAAATATCTGAATTATGAATCTGATCTGTTTTTCTTTTTTCTTTTTTCTCTTTTCACTGAGTAATCTAAATTTTTGGTTTAATTTTTAATTGACTATTTATACCAAATACAACTAAGTAGAGGGTTTTATTTTCTTATTTGTTGCATAATTGACCAATTAAAATAGTAAGTTTATCAATTCACTGCAATTATTATGTATAAGAATCATTTATTTTTTTTAATAATTTCAGGAGGGACAAAGGTAATGTTTTATAAGTGTATATATCATAATGACAAAATAGTGAGGTAAAATAGTGAAAAAATAAATTTCGGGGGCAATTCCCCCATACAACGTGGGTCCGGTCCTGATCCAAGGCAAACAATGTTATATTGTGGGTGCATCACTCTTTTGCGATCTCATGAACTAAACTTTGTTGCACTTTGCATACAATCTTTTGGTCTAATTTTTTTTTTATGACTGAGATTCTAATATTTAGTTTGAATATTAATTTCACCAAATGCAAATGATTTTTCTTTATTTTAAAATTTTTAAAACCATTATCACAATAAAATAAAATAAAAACACAATAAAATGATACTTAGGCAAAACACTTTAGTCATAAAATCCCTCTGGGCCGAGTCCAGCACGGCCCATCAGCCCAGAGAGAGGCCCAACGACTATCCAGCCCGCTGACTCTCATTCAAGGCCTGTTTTGACCAAGAGATCACCCCAAGAGAAGACCAGGCACGTTTAGGAGGGATGAAGCCCATGTTTTCCCAAGGTTTAGAAAGAGCAAAGGATTTTTAGGGTAAGAATAGACTTCTATAAATAGAATAAGGGCATAAATGTAAAGGATTCGATTGAAATGTAAAAAATTAACTTTCCTAATAGAGAGAGCAGTTTCTTGCACATTCATGGACATAAGTATATTGAGTGTAGTCATCACAATGCACCCTTATCCGTCCATTTCGACAGAGTAGAGTGTTCGGCCTAAATATCATTCATTATTCAATACGCTATTTGTCTATCAATATAATTTGCTGATACACGCCATCTGGGCCTAACTTTTGCTACTCAATCGAAGGATCCACTTTGAAAAAGCCTAGGGGAGATTGAGTCTGAAAAAGAAAAAAGAAATATACTTGGCCCAAGAAGGGAAGCTACTGCACGTTCTCATTAAATTAAAAAAAAAAAAAAAATTTGATATTTTTGTGGGATTAGAAATTTCCAAGAATTAAAAGCGATAAGATGGCATCATTGCAGAATAATTTATTTAATGAATTAGTTTAATTAATTGTGTAGTTGACACTTTTTTTTTTAGACGAATCTACTTAGAAGAATAAGAATATGGTTCCACAATCATAAGGTTCCACATCCATATCGAGTGTTGGATGTGGTAAGTTTATAATTTTCTGGGTATCTATCATAGTGTGCATATTAAAGTCTCTGTGATTTCCACATTAATTGAATTAGGGTTTACAGATTTAGCTAGACAGAGCTTGTTCTGGCTTTACCTTTTAACTTCAGAGATGGACTAATTGACATGTTCTTTTTAATGTGGTTTGCTCTTTTTGAACACGTGAAGAAAAGCAAAACCATAGCCGTTGAACATGGGAAAAATAATAGTAACAGAGTAGGATTGTCGAGCCAAGTGGTTCATGTAAGTTTGGTTTGGTAGACATGGTGGGAAATAAGAATCGTTGAGAAAATAATTTTCTATTTTTGAGAATTGAAAATTAAAAAATTGTACAAAAACTTTACAAAACTCTACTTTATTTAATTTTGTAAAAAAATCATTTATAAAAATTTATATTTTTATATAACTGTCTTTATAGTTATATAAAAATAATTTTCTATTTTTTAATTGATAAACGAATCAATTCTCTAAAATAACACTAGTATTTTTCCTCATATTATTTGGATCATAAAGCAATGGAACAGGTAAAAATTGTGTGATTTTGACCTAGTGACTTTGAGTTTCTATTATTATTATTTTTTTTTTGACAAAGAAATCACACGATTTACTTGACATGACTTAGATTTATTTATTGAATTAGGTAACCAATTCACATGCATAACACACAAATTTGTCTCTCTTAGGGTTCCAACCCATCACTTTCCTTTTTAGTAGTATAGTAATATCATCTAATTAGGCCAACCGTAGGTGATTTTTTATTATTATTATTATTATTATTATTTTGCCCTTTTGTAATTTTGTAACTCAAAAACATTTTTCTTTTGTAATTAATCAAGATCTTCGGTTACAAGGAAAGATGCTATACTTTATTGTGAGATGTAATATATGCAAACAATACTCATTCCATTACTTGTATTATATTTTTAAAATATTGATTAAATTGTTTGTATCGCAATGGAGAGAATCTTGAACCCCTTGCAATTTGGTTGGTTTCGTGATGCATACTCCAATAACTTGACAGTGGGCCTTAGTAACATTTTAAGGGCATTTGCATTTCCCTTTTGTCATTCGACATTGACATAATATTGCTTTTTTCATGTACTAACATGCGACTGGGCTACATTGTCAACCAAACACAGCCTTGTTGGACTTCAGAAGCTTGTGTTTAGTAAAAAAAAAAAACAGGTACCGCTCATGGCCCAACCTTTTTGCCTTTAAGTGAGATCTTCTTCGAGTGTAGGCAAAGCATTTCTATCCAAAATTTTGAATCATTTAACTGATTGGTGTTCATTTTTTTTAACAAGACTCGGTTTAGTATGATTTGCAATACCTATCTCTTGGACTTGTCACATCTTAATCAGGAATTAATGTGCATCTCCCCATTATGCCCCCCTTAACAACCTTGATCTTGAAATGTCTGTGGATCTACATTACATTCGATGCTTTTAATTGCGCTTGTCTAGGGAAAATGGGGATGACTATAAATGCATTTCTATTCAAAAGTGGGGAACTACATAGACTTTGAGGTGTACATTTAAAAATAAAATTTTGTTATATTTATTAGGTCCATTCATATATTGTAAATGCTTTTATATACATCACTGTTTGTTTTATTTAACTACTTGAACCCTAACAACCTTAAAATTCTTTTATATCTAAATAATAGTATATATATTAACCTCAAAAATTATAATTGTTGAATATCACATTAGTAGTCCTAAGGGATGATGATTCTAACCATGAATGAGAGACCTACCAAATTGTGAATGATGGGTTTGATTAATAAGGGACACTTTGTTTTTTTTTTTTCCCAATTTATTCGCGGGTTCACGAGACATTCATTTGGAAGCTGGAATAATGGCAACATTGTAAGACCATGTCATGGATGTTGTTAGTCTATTAATGAGAAGAGTTGGTAATAAGCAACCTAGGTTGTGCAATCATGGTTTTAACCGTCAGTGGACCAATTTTAGTTTGTTTTCTGTTGGATGACGTTGTGTTCGTGCGCGTGGAGTACAAACTGCACAATCTTTACCATACCAGACACGTACTGTTGTGGACTTGAGGGGTCATGGGCCCTACCTTTGCTTATGTCAGTGAATATCTACTTAGATTTTGCAAAATTTATACAATCTCCGATCTGGTGGTGCTTATACAACTGAAGAGTCCAAATGGTACAAGTGAAGTCTTGTCACATTCGATCTTGATGACAAGGTAAAATTAGAGTGGGTAAACGTGAGTTAAATATTAGTTTTATTTAGGGGTTAATATTTTTGTATTAAATTATGAATTATTAGTATTTGATTTATTATAATTTGGGTTAATTTCACCTAGACCCCACGAGGTTGGCGCATATTTCACCTAGATGGAAATTTGATTTTTAGCAACCACTTAGACCCCAATTTGATTTTTGGCCTCAAACACATGCGAATTGACTTTTTTACCCTCAAAATTTTAATACTACAAAATATTTTTAATTTTAAATGACATAAACACCCCTCTTTCATCTCTCTCGTCTACGGTCTCTCTCACCCACCCCCTTCAACCACCAACACACCACCTTAAAAAGTGCATAAACACCCATAAACCACTACCTCTGTGATCAATCAAACAAACCAAATCTTACCCCAATCACAACCCCACAATCAACGCCCCTTATTCACAAAATCAGACCATGTAATCAACAACCACAAGAAGGAAAAAATAAATAAATAAATCAACAATCCACAGCCCTGCAAATCAAACCTAAACTCGGCAAGGATGGCTGCCACCAAGACCCACTGGACCCAACAAACCCCACCGGAGACGAATCCGAACCGGAATCGGACTCAAACCATGGTAGAGACAAGCTCAGCACCCCCTCGCCGGAATTGCGCCACACGCTCCAATCGACATCTTCTTGAGGAGAGTAGTTACGGCGTGTTGGAGGTCCTCTTTACCTCGATCGACGGCGATTGGTGACTGTCGATACAGATCTTGACCGTCGGTTGGAGGTCCTCCGGCGATATGCTATTGATTGAAGTTCTTGCGTTGCAGTAAGCTCAGGCTCAGACCGTCCGTATGATGGCGAGCTTGTGGCTTCGGATGATGGTGGCGGCGAGCTCTACGGCGAACCCGAGTCCATCCCATTCACCGGTCAGACTCACCCGTGCACAGCCGCAGTTCATCCATAGCCACCGCCCGAGCACGCAGTCGCTGTCATCTGAGCCGCCGCTAGTCATCCACGGCCGAACCAACTTGTCGCCGTGATCTGATGCCGGACAACCTCCTCGTCAACGACAAAGGCGATTTGAAGGTTGCGGATTTCGAACTCAGTGATGGGGTGGTGACTGGTTCATTTGGGGATGATTGTTGACGGTGGTGGTGACTGGTGGGTTGAAATTGGGAAATTTGCCGATGACAGTGAGTTTTGATCTTCGAAACAAAAATTTGAGCGGCAAAATTCCTCAGACCGGTTCGTTTGCGAATCAAGGTCCGACGGCGTTTCTCAATAATCCGTCATTATACGGATTTTCGTTGAAAAAACCATGTCAAAATGATACCCGAACTTCGCCTGTAAATCAGAATCCATCGCCGGAATCTGACGACAGTGATAAGAGATAAGGGCTGAAGCTGGGGCTGATCATATTGAGGGTTAATTGGGAAGATTGCCTGAGAGGAGGAAGAGAAGGAAATGTGCTTTGGGGGCAGTTTAGTCACAAAAAATAGTCAATATTAGGTCAAAGGGTAACATAGTCATTTAATACCAAAAATTGACATTTGGGGTATAAGTGAAATATTAAGCCACTAATTGGGGTCCAAGTGGTCGCTACAAATCAAATCTCTATCTAAGTGAAATATGCATCAACCTCAGGGGGTCTAAGTGAAATTAACCCTTATAATTAATATTAGAATTAGATTTAGTAGTTTTTGATTCGATGTTAAGTCAAAGTCCAAATGAATTCACTCAAATAAATTGAATGGCTTGACTGTAATAAGGAAATTACGAGTTTGAATGAGAAAAAATGTCAAACATTAGAAATGGTAAATTTATATATATTTTTCTTTTAAATTTTTTTGTCCCCAATTTATATGTCGAAAGTATGTCGAAAGTATGGTTTCTATTATCGGTTATGGTTGTGGTATTGATTGCAATCGCGGTATAACGAATTCGGATAGAGTCAATATAAACTGGTCGATACGAATAGAATATCAGATTTGAAAAATAGTCACGTATCGATTAATACAAAGAACCATGATCAAAAGTATATGAGTCATTGAACTTTGAGCTAGATCACGAACAACCATTGAAAGACTCAAAATTAAGGGTATAAGCAATTGATGTCTTTGGGCTAGCTATAATTAAACCTTTTCTTCTACATAAATCTAGCTTATGGGCTTTAAATGCTTAAAATATCTCCTCGTGTTTTTTAGTCCAAGGGCTTAAAATACTTTGATTTTGTACATTTATGCATTAGATATAATAGGAGTATGTTAGTAATATATTGAAAATAAAACAATAAAATTGTTTATTTATTTATTTTAATCTTAACAAGAAATTCACACATTCCACTATATATATATATATATATATCCAAACTCAAACCCAAATCCAAACCTTCAATCCTGTAAATAAAAAAATGAGGATACACCTCTAGGCCACGACACAACACTCTGAGTTCATAAAATTGTTTACTAGTATTTGAAGAGAATGCTGATGCATCATTCATATTAAAATAGTCTTGTCATAATTAATTTACCGTCCTTCTAAATTCAATATACTTGTATCTAGGATTATTTTAATTTTTAAAAAATATGTTACAAGGCGAATTGAATCAAGTTTTGCATTATTGGGAAAAAACATAATTTTTTTTTTTTTCGAATGGTTAAAAAAAAAAAAAAAAACATGATTTGTTGAAGTCAACCTGTGTAGGTTTAATAGTTAGATTATGGCACATGCTTGTAGGTTTCGATCAAGGGAGGCCCTAATAGCTGATGGTTGTTCTTATTCGGTTCCCACTATAAAAAATAAAAAATAAAAAATTGAAAGTCAAATTTCACCTAATTTAAGAAGCTAAAGCGAGCCAACCCCCTTATCCCTATCTAGGTGGGACCCCAAATAAGTATACCCCTAGCCCAAAACTATACATATGGAAGTCATACTAATCTCCCCCAAATGCTCTAAAATTTCGTAAATTGGCTGTGGATTTATTTATTAGTTGTAGTAATTGACGTATTTATACTATATACATATACGTTGTATATATATCTCGGCTGTGAATCATTTAAGGGCATTGATATCTCACGCGCTTTTAGAATGAGAGATATAACAGACTCTTCAAAACTTTGATTCTAAAAAGGCAAGTCTCATATTCAAATAACTACATTTAATGACAGAAAAATAGCAAATATTGACACTTCAGTTACTAAATTCATCAATTCGTCTGACCTACCCTAATTTTATTTTTGTGTACAATTACACTGTAATATTCATACAGCATCGAATATATAAGCACACTACAATCCAAACTCATAAAATTAACCTTATAAAGCAGATGCTTAGATAATTGAATAGGTTATTGATATTCGGTAAATTTTAAAATGTTATATTTTAACTTTTGGTATCTATTAATTTAATATATAATCGTTTTTGCTTTATAAACAAAGAATAATGTTTTGTATGTGTTGTCATAATAAAATATTATTTAAATATTCCTAATAAGTCAAATGAATTTATATCGTGAAAGTCATTTCTTATTATTATTATTATTATTTTTTTCATCAGTTCTTATATATATTGGGCTGAGGTTCAGTTATCAGTTCTTAAATGTTGATACATCTTTATCCAATAATTTAGAACTAAAAAAATAATTATATGAAATAAATATACAATTCATCTTTTAATACTTGTAAGAAAAAATAAATAGTATATGAAATAATAAAAAAAAGATTCAATTTATAGTATGTGAATTTTGAAATGTCAAACTTTAACTCTATTAATTTACTAATTTAATTTTTAACCCTTGTTAACTTGAAAAAAAATTGTAGGGCAACTAAGCCAATTAAAGTGAAGTACAAATGATAAAATTAGGATAGCAAACAGAGGATACGGACTCCTCCATATTCTTACCTTTGAATGTAAGGACAAACATCCAATGAAAGCGGACACTAGTGAAGCCTTCCCTCTTCACATATTATGTGAATCCATTTAACGATGGAGCGTAGGCGCGTGTACCTCACTCCACTCGCAGTCGCACACCATCCCTTTTATCAACCCCGTAAAACCCAATACTAGAAGACAGATCACCCGTCACCCGACATTACCACCCCCCACCCCCCACCCCCCCCTCTCTCTCTCTAACATTTTCTCGCTCTAGAAACCTCACTTCAAGATTGCTATCAATGGCGATTCGAACTAAGATACCGTATTACCTCGCCACCAGAGTCAATAAATCCAATATCTTTTACCTCCTCTTGACCGCCATCTTATTTTTCGTTGCCTACTTCATCGGTATTTGGCAACACGGCGGCGTAACCGGCGGCCCAGCCGCCGATGCCGACGTCGTCCCAAGAATACCGTGCAAACCATCAAGAAACACCACCGCCTACAATCCCAATCCCCTCGATTTCACGGCCCACCACACGGCGGAAGATACTCACCCAATCTCACCGGTGGCGCGTGTGAAACACCTTCCGCCGTGTGACCCGAATTTCAGTGACTACACGCCGTGCGAGGACGCCAAGCGGTCGTTGAAGTTTGATCGAGGGAGATTAATATATAGAGAGAGACACTGTCCTGAAGTTGGCGAATTATTGAAGTGTAGAATTCCGGCGCCGTTCGGGTACAGGACGCCGGTACGGTGGCCGGAGAGTCGTGACTCGGTGTGGTACGCGAACGTGCCACATAAGCATTTGACAGTGGAGAAAGCGGGTCAGAACTGGGTCCGGTTCGAGGGGGACCGGTTCAGGTTTCCGGGTGGTGGGACCATGTTTCCTCGTGGTGCTGATGCGTACATTAATGATATCGGAAAGTTGATCAATCTCCGAGATGGCTCTATTCGGACCGCCATTGATACTGGTTGTGGGGTACGTATATATAATATATATATATACACACACATAGTCTATACATGCATGTTCTAGACCTTTGTGGGTGAGTTTGTCTAGGATCATCTTAGAGATGCGTTCCTTTTTCCATTTTCTTTTTCTTTCTAAAATTGGATTGACTATTGAGTTTCCCACTGTTTGGTTGGTGAGAAAATTCAAGGAGAAAATTTGAACTAAAATTTTGTAGCACTCCAATATGGAATCAAGAATTGGAGTGAGTCGCTTTAATTTCTTGAAATATTAAAATCATACTTTTCTTGAACATGAAAAGCTCAATCCAACCAACTAATATTTTATTGAACCCCAACGTCAAAATATGTTTTTTGATGACTATTAAGTCCCTTATATATATATATATATATTAGAAGAAACGGTGTGGAATTTTCTATTCCCATTTGTTCTCTTTTCTGTAAATTTTCGAGCTAACCAAACGCCTTGGAGAATTTTTGCCAGAGCTCTCTGGACAGCTGGTCTGGTTTGCTTCCTGGATAAACCGGATTTCAATGGGAAAAATTTCCTTTATTACCTAATAAAAAGATTTTTTTTTTTGTCAATATAAAAATTGATTTCCGGAAATTGGGCTGGATTTGTTGCTTGATATGGTTATTGGTTGTATAAAAATCCTTATAAAAAAAAAAAAAAAAAATTCACATGTTTACTTTTTTTACACTGCAAGAATAGATACATTTGTTGAAATTAATAATTACTCCGTACTAAATAAATAAACAGGTAACATAATCTTATTATAAATTAAAATATATTCTGTATTGGGTGAAAGTTGGTGTTCAAGATGCACCAACTTTTTGGCATTTTTTGGATTAATTATCAAAGCTACCCAATTAATTTCTATTACTTTTTATGATCGATTAATAGACAGTCCAAGGGTACAAACTTTATCCATTTATAACAAAAGTGTCTTTGAAGTATAAATTTCACTTGTACTGATTCTGATGTAGGTTGTTTGGTTGATGAGAATCTTTTTCTTCTCAAAATTGAAAATACTATGGTTCATGAAAGAGTACTATTGAATTTTGTCATTTTCTTAATTTATGGAAAAAAATAAAAAAAACTGTGTATATATCTTTATTATTTAATGGTGCAATCATTAAAAGAAACTTATTTAATGGTCAAGAATAAATTCAATTGCAGATAATCACAGCACTCTCCAATATCATCCATGCATCTCTCAGTTTGTAAATCCTCTTCTAGAATTCTCTTAACATTTCTAGCAATTTATAATGTAGGAAATTAGAAAAAAACATTATTGATTTGGATGTACTATAAAACTTTGAGTTCTCTAAGCATTTCTAAGAAATTTTATTTTAAAATTAATGAATGAAGTTAAAATAAAATATTGATTTGAAGGAGATCAAATTGTTCAGTAACATTATAACAGAGTATAATTGTAGACAAATGGAGCACTTTCTTCGTACTTCTTTAAGATTTCATTTTCATTATGATAAACAGAACATAAATGTGGAAGCTTAAATTTTTAGATTTCTTGAGTAGACGACATTCGTAAATGGCCATAATGCATTCAAATGAATATATGATTCTACTTTATAAGAGAAGTAATATGATATTTTTGTCAAATATAAACTATGGCCTTAAATTTCACAGGTTGCTAGTTGGGGAGCTTATCTTACATCTAGGAACATCTTAACAGTGTCATTTGCACCGAGAGACACTCATGTAGCTCAAGTGCAATTTGCTCTCGAGCGAGGAGTTCCTGCGTTGATTGGTGTGCTAGCTTCCATTAGACTACCTTACCCTTCCAGAGCATTTGACATGGCTCATTGCTCTCGCTGCCTCATTCCTTGGGGCCAATACGGTACTTGAATTTATTGGTTTTAGTAATTTTATCCCTTGTATCTGTGTTTACTCTTTTTTGGAAGATTTGGAGTTCATTTGAATTATGTTTGAGCAGATGGGCTTTACTTGATTGAAGTTGATCGGATTTTACGTCCTGGTGGGTACTGGATCCTTTCGGGGCCACCTATAAACTGGGAGAGACACTGGAAAGGCTGGGATAGGACTGCTGAAGATTTGAAAGCCGAACAATATGTAATTGAGAGCGTAGCGAAAAGCCTATGCTGGAAGAAATTGAAACAAAAGGATGATCTTGCTATTTGGCAGAAACCCAGTAATCATATACATTGTAAAATTAATCGGAAGGTTTTCAAGAATCCGCGGTTCTGCAAGGCACGCGATCCAGACAAGGCATGGTAATGCTCTATTGTGCTTAAATTTTTCATATTTGTTATTGGATTTTTATTTTGTATCCATTTGGAAACTTAATTAAAACTTAAGGGCTTAAATCCCTGCAAATAATAGGTTCCTTGAGTAATTGGGGGTTGTGTCTACAGCCCATCATTGGGCAATATATGAGGTTGTCACTAGATAGACTGATAAAAATCTGTGATTTGTGGTCTTCACGCGTATGGCTTAAGGAAATTATTGGGGCCAACAATATCTTGTAATGGCGTGTAACGAACTTCTATGGCGTGACCAAATATACACACACATATATAAAGGAGAAAAGTTGAATTCTTCTCACTGTAGTAGGACATTTTTGCAGTGATACCAAAACCAATTTGATCATAAAGGCTATTCTGTCAGAAATCAATCTTATATGGATTTGTTTCAGTCACACTTTTAGTTTGCTGACCCAAAGAACCTCCTAAAGTTTTATATACTTCTCAACTTTAATGGTAATTAACAAAACCAGTTAAATGGTAATGGGTACTGCGATCCAGATCATTTTTTCTTAAAGATGCCTTCAAATATATTATCTGTATTAGCTTCTAATTTGTAATGCCTTGTTTGGTTGCTGAGAAATATAATTTGTTGGTTTTTTTATCTTAAGATTCATCCATTTGTTTCTTAGTAGATTCACCACTTTGCAGGTATACGAAGATGGAAGCCTGTTTAACTCCTCTGCCTGAAGTGTCCGACATTAAGGAAACTGCTGGAGGACAGCTAACAAAGTGGCCGGAGAGACTGACTGCAGTTCCTCCGAGGGTAATTAGCGGAAGCTTAACTGGAATTACAGCAGAGATTTTCAAAAAAGATACAGAAATTTGGAAAAAGAGATTATCGCATTATAAGTCTATAGACTACCAGCTAGCAGAGCGAGGAAGGTACCGCAACTTGCTTGATATGAATTCTTACTTGGGAGGGTTTGCAGCTGCACTTGTCGATGATCCAGTGTGGGTTATGAACGTTGTGCCTGTTGAGGCGAAGATCGACACTCTTGGAGTCATCTACGAGCGTGGACTTATTGGTACTTATCAAAACTGGTATGATTGCCCCTTACTCTTAAGAAAATAGTATGACTTATAATGCTTCTTATATTATTATTCATGCAGTCCGTATTACAATCGGTATGTGATAGCACGTTCTTCCTTAGAATCACTTCAATGGTGTTCTATGATCTCAGTTAATAGTCTTTATGATCTTAAATTTCAGTTGCTTGATTGTTCGATGTTATTGTGTTATTGATTTCATGAACTTTTTGCTAGTGTTTAGTCATTTTCTTTTTGGTGCCCGAAGCACTAGCTCTTTTAGTCGTTGGCCAAATAATCACACTCTTTTAGAAAATTTGAATTGTCATAAGCAAATTACCAATTCCCATAACACATTGCGTGAAGTTATGATTCACTTGTATCCTTGTAGGTGCGAGGCCATGTCTACTTATCCAAGAACTTACGACTTCATTCATGCCGATTCTGTTTTTACCCTCTACAAAGACAGGTATAACATATCTTTTTGAATCAATTTTTTTATTTTATTGATTTAGCCATCGTGAACACTAAGAATTTCTGATTGTATCGTTCTCAAATAATTTGTTCTTCAGATGTGAAATTGAAGATATTTTGTTAGAAATGGATAGAATATTACGACCACAAGGTAGTGTGATTATCCGAGATGATGTTGATATTCTGGTGAGCGTGAAGAGCATCGTAGACGGACTTCAATGGGAAAGCAGAATGGTGGAGAATGAAGGTAGCCCTCATGCCAGAGAGAAGCTTCTAATTGCAGTTAAGCAGTATTGGACTGCCTCTGCTACTGACCAAAATTCAAAAGGGTCCAGAACAGCTTCCTAGTACTGCATGTTTTGTTTTGCCTCTCTTTTATAGTTGATGGTTATTCAAAATTTTCAAATTTTTTTGTTAATAATTCTTTGGAAGAAAATAATCTTTTATGCCCTCCTTTTTTTGGATAGCAGAGTCTGATAGGCACACCTAATAAAGATGTAACTTTTTTTTTTTTTCTTTCTTTTTTTTTTTTTTTTTTAATACCAAATAGAGATATTTGACTGTAAGCTTTCATAATTACATCTCACTAAGAACAAGTTTTGATACGTTTTTTAAGTATTAAAATTCAGAGTTTGGTCAACAGATTAATGATAGAATAGTCAGTAATCACAAGTCAGTAAATATATACACGACTTGTCAAGTAAAGTCATGGGTTGTTCTTGCTTGATTCATTACTTGACTCAGTTTGAATTATGTGGCTTTGGTTTGGATAGTTTTGAGTAACTAGCAAGTATGAATTCACTGTTGTCAGGTTGATTAAATTGTTTACTAATAATAGTTTTATACAGAATTAAAGTTTTGAAATTAAAATTAGTAAAATTGAAGTAATAAAATTGTTCCTAATTCTAGTAAAGTTAACATGAGAGTTGATGATCAATGATTTTACAAATGAAACTTTAATTAAATGGCTTCGCAGTATAAAATTCATTTTCATTATTGTTATATCTTTTGAACAGGTGCCGTTTAATGCTTCGCATGTGTTTCCACTCTTATTCTCAGTTACTTAGATTTTGTTATTTCTAAATATTTTGATTTTGTCATTTTTAAAATTTCGGTGGAATCACATTCTTATATTGTTCCGTATTAAATTATGTTAAAATAAAGAGGTATGTTGTTTGGGCCGAGGGTTGAAGTAACTTTATTCCAAAATAAAAACAAAGAAGCTTGTGAGGATAATAAAGTATCAATTTGATTAAAACGAAAGACAAAATAAAGTTTAATTCAAGTGTTTTAATATAAAATTTTAACTTTATGATGTTCGTATTGTAATTTATTTTCAAAACAATTCCTTAAAAAAAAAAATTATCTGTGATACTTTAAATAATTTTTAGTCTCCGTTTGTTTAGGTATAAAGTATATATTTTTTTCAAGTGTTTGGTTGTCGTAATATTTTTAAATTTTTGGATATTTGATTGTCGAAAAATATTTATGAATATATATATATATTAGACTTTGACTTAAAACTTTGTCACAACACACGTGCCATGCACGTGGAGAATGTTTTGTAACTTACAAAATTTTTGTTTTCATATATATTTTTTTAATTGTTGATTCAAAATAAATAGATAAATACAGGTTATATGTGATAAAGTTTTATACAAAATAAAATAACTGGTAAAATTTTATAGAAATTATTTTATTTTGTTTAAATATATTCATGTTTAATTAGATTTTATTTTATTAAAAAATCTTAATAAATAGATAATGTGAGAGTTTTATAGAAAATAAATTAGCTAATTTGTGGTACATTTTATTAAATTTTTTTATTTTCCTTAAATATATTCTTATTTAATTATATTTTCTGTTATTAAAAAAACTCATAATAAATAGATAAATAGGTAATATGTGTTAGAGTTTTATATTAAATATTTAAAAAACTCTTTTTACTTGAATTAAAAAATATTTTTATATATTAATATTTCTTATCTAATTAAATTACCTTTTATTAAAAAAAAACTCATAATAAAAGGTAATTTATGGTAGAGTTTTAGAAAAATTATTTATTTTTTATATCAATTAAAAAAAAATTAGATTAATAATTCTTGTCTAATTAGATTTTCTTTTATTAAAAAACTCATAATAAGTAAATAAATAGGTAATTTGTGTTATAGTCTAATATAAACTCTTTTTATATCAATTAATAAATATTTTTTATATTAATAATCTTGTCTAATTAGATTTTTATTTTATTAAAAAACTAATAATAAATAGATAAATAAGTAATTTGTGTTAGTGTTTTATAAAAACTCTTTTAAACCTCTTTTTTTATCAAATAATAAATAATTTTTTATATTAATAATACTTGTCTAATTATATTTTCTTTTATTAAAAAAACTCGTAATAAAAAGATAAATAAGTAATTTGTTCTAGAGTTTTATAGAAACTTCTTAAATATATCTTTGTCTAATGTGATAGAGTTTTATTGAAAATAAAATAGGTAAGTTGCAATAGAGTTTTATATAAATTATTTTATTTTCGTTACATATGTCCTTGTCTAATTAGATTTCATTTTATTAAAAAACTCATAATAAAAGTTAATTTGTGGTAGAGTATTAGAAAAATTATTTTATTTTATATATCAATTAATACATATTTTTTATATTAATAATTATTGTCTAATTAAATTTTTTTTTATTAAAAATTTATTAATGATAAATAGATAAATAAGTTAATTTGAATTTTATTAGGTAGCTTTTAAAGTTTATAGAGTATAAAAACTCTTTTCATATCAATTAATAAATATTTTTTTATATAAATAAATAAATACTAAAATACTATGTTATAGGTAAGAACTTTTTTTTAATAATTAATAAATATTTTTTAAAATAAATAAATAAATACTATTTTACTCTGAAATTTTGGGCTTGTGAGTCTATGCCCCTCTGAATTTCTCTCTCAATTCTATATTTTTAGAATTCTCAATTTATGTACTCCTTCCTTCTTCCTCCATGCCTCTATTTATAGGCTTACTGGATTAATAGGAAGATGATATGTGTCCTCTCCTAATAATGACATAATCATAACTAGGCCAGACCGGTTATATTGTGATAATTATTCATAAAAAATAACTATTATTTTTATATCAATTAATAAATATTTTATTGTGATTGATTTTATTAGGTAGTTTTTAGAGTTTTATATAAACTATTTTTATAAAAACCTTTTTTAAATAAATTAATAAATATTTTTTATATAAATAAATAAATACTTATATCCTTGTCTAATGTGATAAAATTTTATTAAAAATAAAATAGTCAATTTGTGGTAGAATTTTATATAAATTATTTATTTTCTTTAAATATATATATCGTTCTCTAATTAGATTTTTTTTATTTTATTAAAAAACTTATAATAAAAGGTAGTTTGTGGTAGAGTTTTATAAAAATTATTTTATTTTTTTGTATCAATTATTAAATATTTTTTAAATTACTAATTCTTGTCTATTTATATTTTATTTTATTAAAAAACTCATAAAAATAGATAAATAGGTGATTTGTGTTAGGGTTTTATATAAAACTCTTTTAAAAAATTATTTGATTTTCTTTAAATATATCATTGTCTAATTAGATTTTCTTTTATTAAAAAACTAAAAATAAATAAATAAATACAGGATATATGTGATAGTGTTTTAAATAAAATAAAATAGATAATTTGTGGTAGAGTTTTATATAAATTATTTTATTGTTTGGAAAAATATTCATAATAAATAGATAAATACAGGTTACATGTTATAGAGTTTTACAGAAAATAAAATAGTTAATTTGTGGTAGAGTTTTATAAAAATTATTTTATTTTGTTTAAATATATTATTGTCTAATTAGATTTTATTGTGGTAAAAAACTTATAATAAATAAATAATGTAATAGAGTTTTATAGAAAGTAAAACAGCTAATTTGTGTTGATTTTATAGAAAATTTTTATTTATTTAAATATAATCTTGTTTAATTATATTTTATTTTATTAAAAAAATCATAATAAATAGATAAATAGGTGATATGTGTTAGAATTTTATAGAAAAACTTTTAAAAACTCTTTTTATATATTAATAATTCTTGTCAAATTAGATTACTTTTTATTAAAAAAAACTTATAATAAAAAGTAATTTGTGTTAAAGTTTTAGAAAAATTATTTTATTTTTTATATCAATTAAAAAATATTTTTTATATGAATAGTTCTTGTCTAATTAGATTTTATTTTATTAAAAACCTCATAATAAATAAATAAATAGGTAATTTGTGTTAGAGTTTAAGAGAAACTCTTTTTATATCAATTAGTATATATTTTTTATATTAAAAATTATTGACTAATTTGCGGAAGAGTTTTAGAAAAATTATTTTAATTTTTATATCAATTAAAAAATAATTTTTATATCAATAGTTCTTGTCTAATTAGATTTTATTTTATTAAGAATTTCATAATAAATAAATAAATAGGTGACTTGTGTTAGAGTTTAATAGAAACTCTTTTAAAAACTCTTTTTATACCTATTAGTAAACTCTTTTCAAGGATCTAGTTTTCGCCCAGTTATCCTTTGTAGGTTCCCGGGATTAACAAATTCTTAGTAAATGTTAATTTGTGGTAGAATTTTAGAAAAATTATTTTATTTTTTATATCAATTAATAAATATTGTTTTATACTAATAATTATTGTCTAATTAGATTTTATCTTATTAAAAAATTCTCATAATAATAAATAGATAAATAGGTTAATTTGAATTTAGTAGGTAGAAATTAGAGTTTTATTTTTATTTTATTTTATTTTAAATAAAACTCCATAAAAATAACTATTATTTTTATATCAATTAATAAATAATTTATTTGGTTGATTTTAGAGTTTTATAGATTTTTTAATTTTTTTATATAACATTTCTTTATTAGGTAGATTTTAGAGTTTTATTGAATTTATTTATTTAAAAAAACTCTTTTCATATCAATTAATAAATATTTTTTTATAAAGTAAATAAATAAATAAATACGGATTGACCTAAAAATATAGATAAAAAATCTTTTTATATCAATTAATAAATATTTTTTATATAAATAAATAAATACTGAAACTCTTTGGAATTCCGAATTTATAAAATTCTCAATTTCTGTATTCCTTCCTCCATGACTTTATTTATAGGCTTATTGAATTAATAAGATGATGACACGTGTTATCTCCTGATAATAACATAATCATAACTGGGCCGAAGCGATTATATTATAATAATTATCCATAATTTGTTTTTAGAGTTTTATAAAAGCTATATTTGTATCAATTAGTAAATATTTTTTATATAAATAAATAAATTGAGAAATACTGAAATACTGAATACTGAAACTCTTTGCACATTTAATAATAATATAAATATATATATATATATATATATATATATATATATATATATATTTCTTAAATAATAAAAAAAATTAAAATTATTTTTATGCGGCAATGCATTTTATTGCAACTTTGCTAATTAATTTATGTTAATATTTTTCTTTAAAAAAAAAAAATCATAAAAGTTGCAAGAAGTCTAGAACATCATTTTTACCTAAAAAAAAGTCTAGAACATCATTAAAAATCGACAAAACAAATACATCAAAATTTGTAAGTAAGAGTTTTTCGAATAATAAATATACACATTAAATAATAATAATAATAAAAGATATACAGTTGATATTCTGTTGGATAAATCATAAAATAGAATAGACTAATAAGGAAAATTAAAAAATTCATATTGATTTAAAATTTTAAACTATAAAAATAACTATATGTCGCTCTGGGCTCTTCCATACATGAGATAGGGCCTCTGGAAATCTGATATACTAGTTCAGAAAGAACGCTAGAGAGAGAACCAGAGTATCAGAGACCTTAACAAAACCTAGCTTCACTGGGTTATTGTGGTTGATAGCAGAGATAGCCATGGACGGCGAACACGAAGCTTCGGGACAAATGACCGACGAGGTCTACGCCAACGGCGGTGACGATTCTGAGCGTCACAGACTAATCATAGGCAGCGAACAGCTCGACGTCGAGGCCTACGCTGGGCTGTACAGCGGTCGCACCAAGATCGCTCGTCTCCTCTACATCGCCGACCGATGCGACAACGTTTCGATGCAGTTGGAGGCTCTTCGATTGGCCTTCGACTTAATCAAGAAGGGCGAGGACACTCACCTGTTTGGGGAAGTTGTTCAGAAGATCGACGGACGATTAGGTCCCAATTACGGGCCCGACCCGGCCTGGACTGAGTCCGTGGACCATCGGGCCGAGCAGAGGAGGGAGAAGCTGGAAAATGAACTCAATGCTTATAAGGTTTTCTTTGTTTTCTTATTTTAAATGGTTTTTTTATCAGTTATTTCATGGTTTGCGTATTTTAGGGTTTATGTATATATGCATATGTTATATGGGGGATGTGTATTATATATGAGTAAAGTGATGTAAATTTTACTATTGAGGGTTTGTTGTTGGGTTCTTACTGGAATGCCCTTTAGAGGAATTTGAATGGTGGGTTGAAATTGAATCTCTGTGTTTGAATGTGCTTTTTCTTTAGTAAGAATAAGGGAATTATTCACTCAGTGTGGTTGTAGTTTTATACTTTCTTATGGTGGGAAAGTCAGATGCTTAGAGGCTGTGATATTTTGTAAGGACAATGAAAAAATGTGCATTTTTGAGCTGTGGCTTTGACATTGTAAGTTTCTTTGGATGATTTAGACGAGTTTTTTATGGTGAAAAAACCCAATCCAACCAATCCTTCGTCTTCTTTTTGTCCACTTCAATGCCTCTCTGAAGTGGTTCGTATTGTTTATGGCTTTGGTTTTTGGTTTAATATTTCCACCCTCTTCTCAAAACAATTTCATATTTATTGTGGGTGTTGTTACTAATATAGTGAGTGAGTGAGAAGAGAAGAGAAGAGAGTGGGTGAGAGTAGAGAGATGCAAAATAAATGGGTGGGCAGTCTCTATACGAGTATATTCTTTTCTAAATCCATTATAGTGAAATTTCTTCTCTCCACGGACCTAGGCAAAATTCGGCTGAACCATGTAAAATATTGTATTGCATGTTGTTTGCTTATTTTGATGATTGGATCTCAATGTTTGTGATGTGTTTACTTCCGCTGTTCTGAACGTAGGGGATTTTAAAAAAATATTCTTCTTTACTGTGTTTTGACTGAAAATGGCTTTTACTTAAGATTGGGAATTTTTCAGTTTGTCACAAAAAGTTACTGATGTTCTCAAAGTTTTGGTGGATTAGTGTAAGTGCTCTTTCTTGCATAAAGGGACACTTCAACAGTTACCTTGCTTTGTGGTTTCTGTTGATTATGTCTTGGTAGAATTTTCTGTCTATTGATTTTTTTAAGTGTTAATATTTTCACTCAATTTGGTTCTTATGATATTTATTTCTTTAAGAAAATTATGAAATAGTATCTTTCCGATTTCTTTGGAAATTAGTGACTCGTATTGACAATATGTTTTGATTTTTTCAGTTATAATATCAGATCAATTTGTAGAGTTACCTTTCAATTTTTCCCATTGTGCTTTTCTTGTGTTCTGCCATGTATAAGAAGTAAAATGTCTTGTTATCCCTTCTTATCCGAGTTCTCCTTTGTGCAGACAAATTTGATCAAAGAAAGCATCAGAATGGGATTCAATGATCTTGGAGATTTTTACTATGCTCATGGAGTACTTCCAGATGCACTAAGGAATTACATTCGCACTCGTGATTATTGCACTACATCGAAGCATATCATTAATATGTGTTTGAATGCAACTTTGGTCAGCATTGAGATGGGTCAGTTTGCCCATGTCATAAACTATGTTAACAAAGCAGAGCAAAATCCAGATGCCTTGGACCCCGTCACGATAGCAAAACTACGTTCTTCTGCAGGATTGGCTCACTTAGAGGCTAAAAAATACAAGCTTGCTGCCCGGAAGGTTAGCCATCTAATCTTTTGTCTTTTGCAACATGTCATGCTAATTTTTGCTTGTAGGTTTGTGTTTTGACCTAAAAAGGAAAATAAGTATATCTACTTAGGTTGATATGATGTCTATGTTTTCATCTTCAAGGCTAGTGAAAATGTGATAAGTCAGATTAGTAGGATTTTACACTGGTTATAAATGAGGATTTACTGGGTTTTGATCATACCTTTGACATTGGGGCTGAATGCTTGATTATCTCAATCTAGCTCTAAACTCTCTTTCTATCCCCCCACCCCCTGGCGGCAGGCTCTCTCTCTCTCTCTCACACACACACACACTCTCTTACGCGCACATACTAATTACTAACTTTGTATTCATTTCAATCAAAGCCCTACAGAAACACCATGGATGCCGTAATACCATAACAATACATTTACTTTTCAGTCCAAAGCTTAATTTAAATCTCTCTTTAATTCAAACCCCTTTCACAATTAATTATCTCCCTTTTTATCAGTCTCCCACCAACGTAAATATATATACATATGCACACATATAAATAACCGGCGACAGATATTCTGACCAGAGAAATTGTGTCGGATCTTCTGAATAGAGAAATCGCCAGCGAAGCTATGGTGGCCACCTCCATAGTTTGTGAACAGAGAAATCCCTCTTACAGTTCGTGACAGAGAAATTGACGGCGAAGCTATAAATTCTTCTGATGGGAAAAATCCCTCTTTACAGTTCATTTTGGATAAATAGTTGTTGATGATTGATTTACCAAGAGAGTCAAGCTATGGTGGGCAAGAAGATTAGGGTTTGGTAACTGATGGAGATGGAGGAAGTTTGGTAATTGATTTTCCAAAAACAGAAATAATTTAATTAATTACCAAAAAGAAATAACCTATTGCAAGTGATAAGGAAAGAATGAGTTGTCAAATTTTTTTATTGGGTATAGAGATTACATTAGCCACCTCAACAACTAATGTTAGATAACATACCAAACTATGTCGTTGAATTAGTGGGCACCGTGTCCTTAAGTGTCTTTTTCCCTTTTTTTGGAATTTACCCTGTTCTTTTTTATAGTTATTGCCTACAAACATAAATGTTTATCATCACATGACATCGTTTAAAGATAAAAAAATTATTTCCATCCTGCAAAAGTAAGATTTGCTACCATGAAATTCTATAATGACCAATCAATTGTAAGATTTCTTGTCCGATTAAATAAACTATGGTTCTTTGGGTGGTTTAAAAGTCAGTTGTTGAAAATTATTCCCTCATCATAATGCATACTGGGTCAATCAAGTGAATGATGGACCAAAAGGAACTCCTAATTATTGAGGGAAAAGTGGTGTCTTGGTCAATCCTTGGATGCTTCAAGTTGCTATTGGACTTCATTTTCTTTGCAGATACTAGAAAGCACTTTAATAGAGTAGTCTTTTTGCTCTTTAATTTATAATGGTGTCTTGAGGATATTGTAAGTCTTTGTTGTATTAATTAAATTTGATCTTTCAAATGTAAACTTGTGATGTACAATGTCTTGGTATATTTGCAGTTCTTGGAAACGGGTCATGAATTGGGTAACAGCTACACAGAAGTGATTGCACCCCAAGACATTGCAACATATGGTGGACTTTGTGCACTTGCAAGTTTTGATCGAACTGAGCTGAAGGCAATTATACCGTGTTTCTCCTTCTGAATGGGTTTCTCAATTATGCCTTGGAATTTTATATATTGTGGGATCACCTCCTAACTAGATTCTTTTATTTGGCAGAGCAAAGTTATAGACAATATTAACTTTCGGAATTTCTTAGAGTTGGTACCTGAAGTAAGAGAGCTCATTCATGATTTCTATTCTAGGTAACTTAATATGGTCTTTACATGTGATCTCTTGGTTTTGGTTAAAATGATAGAAATTGCTAAACCTCGCAGAAGGTTTACTGAACTGAAGAAAAACTTATCTGCCTTGTTTAATTTTCTATAAGGTGATATCTAGTGACGATTTAGTTATCCTTGCGTTGTCATTACCTATCCCACTTTTTTTATGGGACAGCAGCTTGACCTTTTACACTTGACCCTTATTATTGTCCTTTTGAAGTGGGTTGAATCAGATTTTCCTGGATTAATACTGATGCCTTCTTGTGGGATTTTATGGGGTGAACTTGAGGAAGTGAATAACATTTGTTTATGACAAGGAAATGAGTATCAATGCTTGTTCCAATAATTTAATATGCTTTAACTTTTCAGTTACCTTTTATGACTCTCCAATTTCTCAAAAAAATCTTCAATGGTAAAGCATATTGATCAATGGATTATTGTTTGCTAGTGGCAACTAAGAGTCTATGACAAGAAAATGCACTTCATTTTCCTCCGTGTTACTTTGACAACCCCTTTGAGAAGTTCCTGTCATGAAAACTTGATGGAGAACAAGACACAACTTGAACGCATTAGCTAGCCACACGTGACTCGCTTTACTTTTGGAGAAGAGACATATACAAACAAAATTAGGGATTTGATGTAATTAGGGTTGAGCTTTTATTTTTATTATTTATCATATATTTAATACCTTCCCCCCCTCCCCTCTTTCCGCATCTGCTATTGGCACTCAGTAACCTGTTGGCTGCTTAGATGATTGATGAACATTTAAAATTTTAAATCATATTAAGTTTACATCCATCTGCTGCTTTTTCCAAAATGAGTGCCACCTTTTATCTATTGTGGGGGTATAATTGCATGTTGTCTTGATAAATACCTTGTTCCAGTAAATTCATTTTTAACACACTAATTTTTTCCCCTGGTATTGCAGCCGCTATGCATCATGTCTTGATTACCTTGGAAGACTCAAATCAAACCTGTTACTAGACATGCATTTACATGACCATGTTGAGACACTCTATGATGAAATTCGACACAAAGCTCTCATCCAGTATACTCTTCCATTTGTGTCTGTTGATCTGCATATGATGGCTAATGCTTTTAAAACAACTGTGGTGGGGCTGCAGAAAGAACTCGAAGCTTTGATTACTAACAACCAAATACAGGTATTGCTTTCCACTTCCCAATTTCAATAGATTATATTTTAATTAGCTTGGTAAAGGGTATCGTTCACAGTTCACAGTTAATGGGAAGAACATTGGAAGCTTTTAGTTTTTGACTTCTACACTTTTGTTCAGTTGTTATATACTCTTTTGGGGCGCTAATAGGTTATTTACTTAGTACTAGCTAATCTGATCCTCGTTGGTATTCATCAAACCTGTGATACTTGTGCAGGCTCGAATTGACTCTCATAACAAAATACTGTATGCACGACATGCGGATCAGAGGAATGCCACTTTCCAGCGGGTTCTGCAGACGGGCAATGAATTTGATCAGTACGTCAGGGCCATGCTGCTGAGAACAAATATTCTCAAGCATGACTACAACCTTAAGTTTTCAAGGAAAGTTTAAAACTTTTACAACTTAGTTTCCTTGACCATGTGATATGGGGCAATGAGTGTGGGATTTCAGGATAGGTGTTAGTGCCGCTATAACCGAAATTTGAAAGGTCGATGTTGTTTATGCACTCAAATTGATCCCATTTAGTTGTAAGGAGTGAATATATTTTGTTTAGTTTTTCATTGTAGACCTCTTTTTTAATGCTATATCTTGAACAGGGAATGTACATGTTCTCGTAAGTGCAGAAAGCAATCCAAGATTTTTTATTTATTATTATTATTTTTTTTTAAAGGTGATTTAAGTACTCAGTTGTACGCACCCATCATTAGTTAAACACCGACAAATGACATTGTCCTGCTACTCACTGAACCGGTTCGATGATACCGACACATATGACAGTTATCACTGCTCACAAGCACCCCCTGATTTATAGAACAAAACAAAGGGTGGGACCCACAATGATCATGATGGTCCCACCCCTATCTCTTATAAAATATTGCATTTGGAAGAATTGAATGAAGGCTTAAAAATTAAAATTGAAAAAAAATTAAATTACTGTAAGTTTTTTATTTTTTGTCCATTTCAATTCCGAATTTGGTCATCCAAACCTAGTAGCATTCAAAATCACAGTAAAGGATGACAGGAACAGACCTTTTTAATGTGTTTTATGGTGTCTAGATTCACTATGATTGACTAAGTTTGGTAATCTCAAAATATATCAGCACACACGAGACTCTGCCTTATAGCGGAGTAATAAATTGCTCACAGTCACAGCCCTGTACCTCTAATTCTCATTCCCACCTCCGTTGATGCTAAGTTACTTTACGTTCAAACTTCATACACGACTGCACTCTTCACTATGTGTATGTCTACAACATAGACAGATCTTCAAACCTATGTTGTATATATAACGCTATTATGTGTGTATGATCGTATCTTGAACTTGTAACAAAGATGGGGCAGTTAATTCTCCCCCCATCCAAGCGAAACCCTCGACAATGGCGCCTCCTCGATCTCCTCTCCGCGGGCTTCTTCGCCGCCGTCCTCTTGTCCCTATTTCTCGTCTTCACGCGCTTCAGCGACTCGCTCACCGTCTCGGGCCGCCATGCTCTGCCGCAGCTGACGGCGGATCCCAAGCAGCGCAACCGTCTCGCGGCGCTGGTGGAGTCCGGACGCCAGGTGACCATCGCGTCCTGCCCCGCCAACGTTGTGGACTACATGCCGTGTGAAGATCCGAAGCGCAACAGTCAGCTCAGTAGGGAAATGAATTACTACAGAGAGAGGCATTGCCCTCTGCCGGAGGAGACCCCTCTCTGCTTGATCCCGCCGCCCAAGGGATACCGTGTTCCGGTCCACTGGCCCCAAAGCTTGCACAAGGTGTCACTCTGTCTTTGCTTGTTTATTTCTTATTGAACATTGCATCTGTGCTGATAAATTTTGCCAGATAAGGGATTATATCCTGGACATTGAACTTGCAATTTGATTTTTTTTTTTTTTGGTAGATAAATTTGATTTGTTTATAAATAGTTAACTTGAAGTTATTAATTTTCTGATTTGATTTGTACATTATGTGACATGATTTGATTGATGGACCACTGACATTGGTTGTTAGTCAAAGTATTATGTGAAATTAATTGGGTTATTGAGGGGATGCATTTTGGAATGGCAATGAATGCGTCAAACATATGTTTTAAAATGGCAATGAATGCGTCAAACATATGTTTTAAAACAATTTGCTGATATCTTTTATATTGAGTAATTAGAGTGATTGAGAAATTTAGTGTTCTTTCTCATTTTATTATGCTTGTTTAGAATAACAAGTTAAGGGTACAGGTGCTAGTGAGCCGAGATGAATTGAGTATTGAACTGCTCAAATGCAGCTTGAGAACTTGAATATATTTTTCTATGGGTTTTCTTAAGTTTGAATTTCTCAACAAGCCTAACCAAGCTTGTTCATAACTAGTAAAATTGATCCAACAGTTTAAAAATAAAAGAAAACAATTGTAATGATTTTAAAAATTTTTTTTTTTTTGGGTCCATTTTTAGTGTATATTTTTTTCGAGCATATCTATAAATAATATGAGAAAATAAAGATAGAAGATTATTTAAGATAAATGAGGTTGTCAATTTTTTCTCCTCTCTTTAAATCATTAAAAACAATTTATATACTTGTGTGTGTGTGTGTATATAAACATAGTAATAATATGTCGGAGGAAGGATTGCTACACTTTTTTTAATTAGATTTGAATTTGAAAGGATCACAAGTGTTCCATTCGCAAACAAACCATAGAAGTACCTTCAATTATCATAGATAGGTAACTATAAATGGAAATTTTTAAAAAATTTGAAAGGCCAACATTAATTTTCCTATACAAATCACCATTAATGACTATATTTACCATTAAAAGAGTTTAGAGAAAATTTTGGGGGGCTCGACTTTAATTTTCTTATAAAAAATTACCATTATTAACTATAAATTAGTACTAGTAATATACGATTTAGAAAATTTTGGGGGTGGGGGAATGGACCCCCAGCCCCCCACTCTCTCCGCCCCTGCCAACAGTCACATCAGCTCACTTTCGTCCATGAAACTTACTGTACATCCCCCAGAGCTGACAATTTTTTTTATGATAAATAAATCGCTTTATATTTTATATGTTCCTTAATAACGATCTTTGGGTTAGAATTTTTTTTCATTTATGTTTCTACAGCTGCTAAATGCACCATCATCTACTGAAACTGGGCCTGTAGTTGCCCAATTCTTTATTTATTTATTTATTTTTAAAACATCAAAGATTAAGGCTAAGTTTAAACTCAGCTTGATAAGGTTGGTGAACTAGCTTAATGAGATGGGCATTGAGCTAAGGTTGAGTTCTTTACGAGTAGCTGGATTTTTTGTTTACTAAGCCTAGAAAGGAAGCATGATTTTTTATGAAACTAAATGCGCTTCCAAGAAAATAATCTGATTTTGTTTTACTTAAAAATAAAAAATAAAAATAAATAAAATCTGATTTTGTACTACCACATTTGTCATGCATGTATTGTGATACGGAAACATATTTTCTTGCACCTCCTGAGCAATCCATTATGGAATATTCATCGAGTTCATGCTAAAAGATGAAATGCTGTTATTTGATGTATGTCATATTAATTCCATAAATTAGTATCCTTAAGGTATTAGTATTTTGTTTGCAGATATGGCACGGCAACATGCCACACAATAAAATAGCTGACAGGAAAGGCCATCAAGGATGGATGAAAAGAGAAGGCCCATACTTCATTTTCCCTGGTGGTGGCACAATGTTCCCTGATGGAGCAGTTCAATACATTGAGAAACTTAGCAAGTACATCCCAGTTTCTGGTGGAGTTCTAAGGACAGCTCTTGATATGGGATGCGGGGTAGGTATTGTGTTTCTGTGCCTCTCTGGGTCTCTTACTGATAATTGTACTCTTCTGAAGGGCATATAATTAATTGAATCTTCTTTCAGGTCGCTAGTTTTGGAGGGTACCTACTCAGTGAAGACATTTTAACACTCTCTTTTGCTCCAAGAGATTCACACAAGTCACAAATACAGTTTGCTTTGGAAAGAGGAATACCAGCATTTGTTGCCATGCTTGGCACTCGCAGACTTCCATTCCCTGCTTTCTCATTTGACTTGGTGCACTGCTCTCGATGTTTGATCCCTTTTACAGCATACAGTGGGTTCTGTAAAACTTACATCATTGCTCATTTTGTGGTGCTGTTGCCTTTGTATTTGTCCTCATTAAAGAAGTTTTTTGCTTTGCAGATGCAACGTATTTTATTGAGATCGATCGGTTACTTCGCCTAGGAGGGTACCTAGTCATCTCTGGCCCCCCTGTACAATGGCCTAAACAAGAAAAGGAATGGGCAGATCTCCAGGCGGTAGCCAGATCATTGTGTTTTGAGCTGATTACTGTGGATGGGAACACTGTCATCTGGAAAAAGCCTAATGGGGATTCATGTTTCTCTAACCAAAATGAATCTGGGCCTGAATTGTGCAATGAATCTGATGACCCTAGTTATGCATGGTAATTGTATGCTTTATTAAGTGTTAGATGGCCATGTTCTAATTTTCATATCAAAGAAAATGAAGAAAGGAAAAAAGAAAGATCTTGTCTATACCCTTGAGCTTGCAGCACTTAGTTCAGCAGTAGCATTGTTGACAAAAGCTCATCTTAAAGAAGCAATTTTGATGGCGAATCTGATCTCCTTTATTTTACAGGTACTCTAACTTGAAGAAATGTGTGAGCAGGATATCTTCTGTGAAGGGAGATAATGCTATTGGGACAATTCCAAAGTGGCCAGACAGGCTAATGATAGCTCCTTCAAGGGCCGCCCTTGTTAAGAATGGAATGGACATGTTTGAAGATGATACCCAGCAGTGGGCAAGGAGGGTTGCATACTATAAAGAATCATTGAACTTGAAGCTGAGTACTCCAGCTATTCGAAACATCATGGATATGAATGCATTTTTTGGAGGGTTTGCTGCAGCACTACAATCTGATCCTGTGTGGGTGATGAATGTTGTTCCTGCTCACAAGCCTTCAACACTTGGTGTTATTTACGATAGAGGCCTTATTGGTGTTTACCATGACTGGTGAGTTGTTATGCCGTGTCTGATTTTTGTCTCTTAATAGAAATGTTGGCAAGCGTGCATGAACCATTTATATCTCTAGCAGTCAGTCTTAGACCTTTATTGGAGTAGGCACTGAGTCACTGACAGCGTTTATATCATTTTGTGAGTGCGGGAATTAGATTTTTTTGTAGCCTATTTTTTTCAAAAAAGCTATCAAAACTATTTCTATTACAGTGTGATTCCTTCTACTGGTTGATATAAAAAATAAATTATAGTGTATATTCTCCTCATGACTTCCCACTCCTTGCTTTCTTGGGATCCTCTCAATTAAGCCAGAGTAGTTCACCAGTGGCGCAACTCCTGATTTACATATAGTATAAGGTAGGATTTTGCTTAGGTCTTTTTCCTTCGTTCTTTTTTTTTTTTTTTTTTTTCATATGCATTTCCTTGTACTTTACTGTAGACATGCTTTGTTTGCTTTCTTAAGCTGGATTTTGCTCCCTCTGTAAAATCAAGCATCAAATTGGTTTAATTCACTTCTAAAGATAGGAGCCAAAGGGAATGAAACCTTTTTTTTTCCAAGGAATTGTTTGCACCTAGCAGGAATCGATCTCGAGTCCCAAAGGGAATGAAACCTCCAATTAAAAGCAGCGAAATAAATTGTATAAGCTGACTTCTTCTTCAATCGTAGCTTGTAGCTGTACAGATTTAATTTTTGCTACCTACATATAGAACAATTTCTGCTGCTTTTTAGAGGGGAACTTTCATTGATAAACTAATGTTTATAATTGATGCTTATAGGTGTGAGCCTTTCTCAACATATCCTCGGACTTATGATTTTATCCATGTTGCTTCCATTGAATCGCTCATAAAGCATCCAGATTCTGGCAAGATCAGGTAGGTAGATCTTGGTTGTTATCTTCGAATAATTATTCTTCAAATATCTATTAATTATTTAGCATCACTCGTGATTTTAATGCAATATAGAGTTGTTTTATCCCCCTTCCTTTCAGATAATTCACAGCAGTTTTGCCTCATATTAAATCCATTTTGTTATATCATGTTCATTTCTTAATTCAAAATTTGAATTTTCTTGAATTGAGCATGTGCGATGATGTTGCCTATGTAATTTTTGTTGCATGACAGCATTGTTTAATTAAGACATTTTGTCCATCATATCTTGATTAATTTGCATAAAATGACATGGACTATCCTGCAAGTTTTCTTTAGTTTGAAAGAGATGAACAATCCACCTATTTTGGCAAAAGTAATGGATGGAAGTCATAATTAGTACGGGGAATTGATTTGAGTTATATCTTTGCGACTTCATCGCAGGTGTAACCTAGTGGATTTGATGGTAGAAATAGATCGAATGTTGCGTCCAGAAGGAACAGTTGTGGTTCTGGATTCTCCTGAAGTAATTGACAGAATAGGTCACATTGCTCATGCAGTAAGATGGAAAGCTACCATGCATGAGAAGGAACCTGAATCAAACGGGAGGGAGAAAATTCTCGTGGCAACAAAACAATTTTGGAAACAAGCTTCAGCATCCCACTGACCCAACCTGGTATTCTTTGTCATGTAAGTATTTTTTGTTATAAATCCTTTTGTTCCATTTTTAAAGCAAAGATGATGTTCCACGCATCGAATGATGCAGCTTTCTTTCTTGTTCCTCTTTGGTCTGTCTTACATCTATAAAGGTGGTTAAGTTAGAACACGACAAGTACTAAAAAAGATGGACGGACGTGCAGTTTAACAGTAGAACACTTTAAGCGATGGCAATGATTAATGATTATCAATTGATTTTTAAATTTTGATTTCAATATGATGTATCTGCTTTAATCTCAAACACATTCTTATGCATAAAATGAATCTCATTTAAGGCTCGTTTGTTTGGATTTATTTTTTTATATTTGATTGTCCTAAAATATTTATGAATAACAAAATTAATTTAATAAAAATAATTTATACATTAATTTTCGACAAATTATTTTTCATGTAGTAACAGGTGAAAACATATATATTTTCTATTTGGAAACAATAGAAGCCTTATATATTTCCATTTTATCAACAAACGAAAAATAAAACTGAAGTCTTTATAGCCATAGACACAGAGTAATTAAACATCAACCTATAAAGATTAATCACCGAAAAAAAACATGTCCAACAAAAAGGAAAAATTACATTTAAAAGAAAAAATACAAAAATCATTTACCACCAACGAATTACAATAAAAATATAAACTATTCTACAACTTTCAAAGTAACTGGCTCCAAATCCGATCGAAAGGAAAAAATCTGACCGGGTTGGATTAGAAAATCGAGCTTGACCACATCGAAGCTGCGACTGAGAAAATTATAGAAGATGATACTGTAAACACTCTCCATCACCACAATATGAGCATTATATAAGGCTGGAACAGAAGCAAGGGGCTCTTCCCTTTTAAGAGCCCCATCATCCATGTTCAATACAAGTCCGTGCTCCCACGCTTTCTTCTTCTCGCCATTCTTCAAAATCCACAGTCCCAACTCACCATTTGGTGGAAACTCGCAGATAAAACCGAGCTGCCCTCTATATTCAACAAGCTTCTTGTGTTGGCATAAACGATCATCTTCATCATCACATATCGGCTTTGGTAGCGAAAATATAGTGTATATCTCTTTGTTTATAAAGAATTTCAAAACAGAATTGTTGGTGATGCGCCAGTGAATGGCACCACGTAAGATCACAGGGCTTTCTCTTGTTAATATCAGAACGCCATTAGGCAACCTTATGTCTTGTAATTCCTTCCAACGCCAAGTTTGTGAATCGAAGATTTCACATCCATAGTTGTAGTAGTTCTTTGATCTATTAATAGACACATAAACACAGTAATAAATGCAAGGTTAGAATTCCAAAACCACATCATACGTACTTAAACCATTATGAATTCGCCTCTGTTTGTGTGTGTATATATATATGTGTGTGTGTGTGTATAAGTAATCAATTCCATCATGGTGATGAATACTAGTTTATACAGCATAACATGTTATAATGTACATGCATGAAAGAACAGTTACCAGTTTGTCTTTTATTTTTTAAACTACTAATTAAAATACTAGTTCAAATATAGAAGCGATCCAAGACACCTAAGGGTCAGTTTGGTGCAATGGAAAAGGGAGGAAAGGAAAGGAAAGGAAAGGTCATGGAGAGTGATCTTGGTATAAATGGTTGGAAGGAAAAGAAAGAAAAGGAACGATTTTGAAAATCCTCCTAAATATGAGAGGAAATAGAAAGAAAGAGCAGGAGAGACCTGATGTATTTACCCTTACACAAAATCAAGATTACACTTGCACTTTATTTTAGTTTGCAAAACATGAATTACAGACCTTGATTAGTTGATTTATACATACAAGTTAGCAGTAGCAGAGAGAGGGGGGCAAGCTTGAGAGTTGAGAGACAGCGGCTGAAGCTTGCGAACGGCGAACCCGAACTAGAACAGCGGGCGATGGAAACTGCAAGATATGGGTTTTGATTTTTTGAACAATCTGAAATGATATGCTGATATGGGTTTTGATATAGGTAATGGGTTTTGAACTTTTGATTCTTGCAGACAGGTATATAAACTGATATATATGGGTTTTGAACTTCTGATTCTTGTAAATTTTGTAGTTTGCAGTTGCAGAGAGAGAGAGAGAGAGAGAGAGAGAGAGAGAGAGAGCAAGTTCAGAGTTGAGAACGAGAGAATAGAGATAGATGGAGCCGATTGGTGAGGCTGAAATAATTTGCCCTTAAAATATATTTCTATTCCTGCTCCACAACTTATTTAACCAATTCTATGTCCCACTCCAAAACTATTTAACCAATTCTATAATAATTCTAGGGTAGGATGGGTACCCGGTGAGAAATTTTGTCATCACTTCTCAAAATTATAAATAGTTAAACTTTTAAAGAATAGAAAAATCAAAGCCATATATATATATTGGAGATATATGTAACTTACAATCGTTTGGGGAATGATAACCGAACAATTTTGAACCGCAGCGGGTTTGATTGTAGAACCACCAAGGCAAATATATCCGGTTTCAATTCGGTGTTCGGGTTCGGCAGAAGCTCAAATTGTCTCGTACTTGGCTTGCAAACATAATATTTGCTGCGTTTGCCATACCCATTCACACAACACAAAATACCTTGGTTTGACGAAGCCAAGATATTCACTTTTTCTGGTAAAAAGTCAAGTGACAATTTGGAGGTGGAGTGATCAGATTGGTTGATGGATACAAATGTCGTCCGGTGATTTTTGAACGACTCATCCTGAATGAAGTAACCCGAAACAGTATCCGTTCTCTTACAGTGAAGAGACATGAAACTAGACTCGTATGTGAGGTAGTTCCATGCCTTACACACAGACTTGCATCGATCCAACGTTTTCAATGATGTTCGTGATAAAATCTCGAAACACATATCAGAAGAATACTCCATTGAAGCTAACAACCCCCGTTCTCTGCTCACACACAAAGTTATTTTTTATTTTGTGACATAAAAGATATATATAGAGTTGGAAGACCAAAGTCAGTTCTTTATTAGGATTAATTTAGTTTCCATATTAGAGTAAGAATAGGATACCATACCACTGGATTTTAACTAGTGTGATTGAAAGATTAAAGTGTAATACGATTATGGATAGTTGCTTCTAATCCTACTCACTGTGAGATTTGGAAACTTGTTATGAAATATAAAAAGGAGTGAAAAATAAAATTAGAAACTTGGTGGGCAAGAAATTAATTTAAAGACATAGTAAGGAAACTTTTTAATTATTAATTAATTGACTTTCAGTGGGCTACAATCGGCTCATCCTCATCTCATGTTCTCATGCCCTATTTTGGACTTGCAATGGTCCGATTTAAACACATCTTAAACATGGGCCTAGCCTTCTTTGGTATGGGCCTATAAAAACATTCTTACATTATAAATGCGATTGAGCTCCGATGGGCTTAACCCAAGCAAAACCTTCAAGCAAAATACCTTCCCAAAAAAAAAAAAAAATGTATTCAATGAAAATTTATGTTTTTCACACCATAGGTGGTGATTAGTAATTATAAAATAGGCATCGTGTAGTAAGTGATGGTATTTTTTACTTATTTATTTATTATTACTTATGCCAACAAACTCACACATTTATTTTTTATTTAAAAAGGTAAAGAAGATACCATTTAGTATAAATTAATATTATATACACTAATAAAACTAAATTAATTAACAAACTTTAAGTATAAATTTTTTACTCAAGGGCATTCTTGTACTTTTATTACCAAATTTAACAGTTTTAACTCTGACAGGGGGTGTTAGAGTAATTTAATTTGTTAAAAATTTCATCTATAGGTAATATAGCTAAACCTCAGGGAGGTTGAAGTAATTTACCCTAAATTTTATCATATACTTATTACTTTAAGGTCGGAATTGGATGGACTGAAGTTCATTTTTCAATGCCTAATTGTGATTTGGAGACCCTGATTAGAAACTGCAGCCTACACACCCACACACACACACACACACACTCTTAAAACAAAGAGATCACTGTTGCTTCATACAGTATTTGAATTGAAGTTGGATTGGAAAATTGTAAACTCAATAGGATGTGGTGATGATGTACGGACCACAGTTCATGAATGAGCGGACACTTGAAAAATAAGATTATAGTGTGTCACTCTCTCGTATGGTTTGGAAGAAAAGTCAAATGTGTTGGTCCAAAATACCCTCTTGTACTAGCAAATATAACAACTCAACCAGCAACCTAGATTAAGAGTACTCCACTACCCAGTTGAGACATTGATGTGTATTCCAATCTAAGGTTTGGCCACTAGGCTATGGCTTTAAACCATTTACAACTTTAGCCCAGGCTTTGTTGTACAGTTACTCTAATTCAGAACCAGGACAGGCCGGCCTATTTGTAACAAACTATAAAACTAGGTCAGATGTGAACTGTGGTGGTTGTGTTACTCGGGTTTTGGAGAAATTATTAGATGATTATGTGATTCAGTCTAATTAAAAACTATTCAACTAAGAAATTTTGACTCATCAGAGTTTAATAAGATACTACTATTATAAGGAAACATGAACATAAATTTTGATTAAATTAGATTGATTTACGGTTGTAGACTATTTAATAATTTCTCATTTTGAGGAGAAGGTTGGCAGATGTTGGGGGTGGGCCTCAGAAGAGAGTTGTTTAGTGAGAAAGACCAAGCAACTAGGCACATGTATGTGTGTACGGATGTATTTGTATATGATGGGGAGAGAGAGAGAGAGAGAGAGAGGTGGCTCCATTTTGGTCTAAATTAGACTGCTAATAGTTAAATGCTTTGAGATTTTTTCATTTTTGTTGTGAGCAACTGTACGATCCTCAATTAGGATTTAGGACCCTTGATGATGAGACTTGAAGAGGACAGTTTTGACATGAAAAAAGCAGTTAGTTCATCAATCAACCTCACCATTTCTCTCGCTCTCTACATTTTTAGCTAGGTATGGATTTTGAATTTAAGTTTGTGAATTTGTTCCAAAATTTTGATGTCAAAGTTACATTATATGTATGTTATCAATGTGTAATATATAAGAATTATGGAGATACACACACACACACACATGTTCAAGTATTACGTAAAACAGATGATACTAGTTAGTTAATATGCAAGTTACACTGATATTTATTGCATAATTATATAATCTAATTATGTCCATTTGTCAATTTAACACGGCTTTTTTTTGATAGATTAACGTGTACGCTATTCTTTAAACAAAGACTTGAATCCTCAAATCTCTATCGTGAAAGGAGGAAATTCAACAAGAATTAAAACCTTGGTGATTAATTCTGCCGTTTGGTTTTACTAAATTTATGAAACTATAGTTGAATGATTGTCAACAATGCCCCAAGTTAATTGGTATTCAATTTGCCAAATGTTAAATGAATGATGAGATTTAATATTCATCGAGTTCTTATAATTATTATGTTAGCGCCATGGAGTTCCGTTTGCCTTTCAATACTATAATTTGTCGTTTGGTCTCATTTGAATATTAGGTATGTAATTTTTATTATTGTTTACATTTAGTGAAGTAAGTGTTCATGGTTAATTATGGCAGTCCACTTAAATGAAACTATTATACAAACTGAACATCAAGTTGGCAAGAATCTAAATGAGATAAGAAGAATGTTTTCACCTTTTGCCAACAATTATATGGACTACTTAATTATTACTCCACTATATAATTGTAAATTACTTTAACTCAAGTTGACAGTATTATTTTCACATTTATTATAAACAATTTATCTTCAAATTTATAGTAAAAGGTATGAAAGTAATATTGTTTCAGTATAGATGTTGACCACCTCATACACTTCTCTCTCAAAATTCACAAGTATTTTTAAAACCAATTTGTCCAATTCGTGTTAATATTGTTTGCTTTGGACACTTTTTTCTCGGTGTTCACACTAAACTAATTGCACACAAGATATCTTCTTATAACAAAAAAAAAAAAAAAAAAAAAAAAAAAAAAAAAAAGAAGATGATTTTGTCAAAAAATTTACATAATTGGAAGGTGTCCATATATAAATGCAGCATTCTCGTTGGCCTGACCTGCATTGTGTACACTCTCCATTTTGTTCCGAGATTGTTGATATCATTTGTACATCACGATCAGTGAAGATATTATCCGCTTTGTATAATCTCCTTTTAGTATTCAAGGTTTTTTTTCAAGGTACGTCTACACAAGAAATGTTTATACTTATAAGTCTCAGCAACTTCTTCCCTACTTTTTTCCAAGACAACTTAAAACGTCACGTTGTGATTTCGCGAAATAAGACGACATATCATTTTTCTTTTCATTTTTTTTCATGTTTGTTGATATTATTGGACAACACTATTCCATAGATGCTGAATGATGTTAGGAGATAAGTGGTTGGAAAAAGTTGGAAGTCCATAAAATTTCATTAAAAATGCCAAATAAGAGTTTAATAAGAAACAGTAGCAATTAAAGGGCAAATTGATTAACATTAATGATGGGCAATGAATTTACCATTCATTTCTTGCTCAGAATCCTTAATTGCCACACAGTTGTCAATAACTTAATATGAATCAAGACTCTCCACACCACTCCCCAACCCCCCCACCCAAAAGTAATAGTCAATCAAAAAATATATGTGTGTGTGCGTGTGTGAAAAATATACCAGATTTTTACATGTAATGGTGTATGTATCTATATATATACACACACACTATATGGAGCCTAGTACAATAATTGATGAGATAAAAAATTAAACAAAATTTTCAACTACCGCAATACTAGACAAAATTATTTTAACATTAATTGATATTTTCATTCGGAACATTTACATTTGCTTGGATGGGTTTTCTTATTTTGAAGTGGCTGCACCTTAGTTAAAGAAAAATAATATAACAATTATGATCCTCATAAGAGAGAGAGTCGATGGGGGTAGAACCACTGGAGCGCAGAGAGTTCAAAAACAAGAGAGTGAGAGTTGTGAATGTGAAGTTCAGTTAGGGGCCTGCTTGTATATTATGAGAATAGTCTATATAAAAACCTATTTAGTTGACAATTTTTAAAATCTATTTTCTAAAATTTTAATAAAAAGGTATTTGTTTTTCGAGAACAAAACAATTTTCTGTTTCTAAGTTGTTAAAAAATGTTTTATGGGTAGGATGAATTTATATATGACGAGTTTTAGTAAATATTTTTAAGGGGAATTATTAAAATTTTAACAAAATTATAGATATAAAATATAAATAGAAAAAATTCCAGTGGGCCCACAAGGTGGGTCCATGCATATTTTCCATGAAAACGATTTAATCACATATACATTTTAATCCAACTTAGAACATGTGGTCATAAACAAATGTTACAAATCTGATGGACATGGAGGGTATTGATTTGACTATCCAAGCAAACTGTGTTTGGGAATATGTGTGCGCACTTATTAGAGGATTAGTGTGTCTTTCTCTATAAATAATTTATTTAACATGGCTTCTCTTTTTTTAAATGATGGAATTTATATATTTATTGGGTGATAAATTAATTTAATTAAACATGTTTTAGTGATCTTTATATATATATCTACAATATGCCCAACAAAAGATTGAGCATTTAATTAAAAATGACATCAACAGAAGTTTTCTTCCAAGCATACGTTTTTGAGACAATCAACAAAAGTTGGCTACCAAGTATCTGTTTTGGACTTCAATCTATCTTTGATTTATGTATTACATCAACTATGCAATAAGGTCAAGCAACCATAAATGCGAACATATATATATATATATATATATATATATATATATATATATATATATATATATATCAGCCTCGTACCATATTGAATTATTCTATTCAATTTTCTTCTGTCAAATTCTTAATGCAAATTTGCTATGATTTAAATTGCACGATTCTCTTGTAAATCTCATCAAATATATATATATATACACACACACACACATACTGACACACATATACATATATACTATCATGTTTATATTTCATAAATTTAAAACATTTGTAATTGCTAGAGGTTCTTACTTCTCATACTTGTCGCGAGTTATTTTTTTTCTGATTTTTCCATTATGAGGAGTTTTCTTGCACATAACTACGACATAGGAATAAATATAATATAATATATATATGGTATTTAATAAGTTTATATTTTCTATTACTGAAAATATTCCTCATAAATTAAATAGGACTTTGGACATGAACAGATAAAATCAAAGAAGTTGCCCTGAAAAAGGTGATGGACTCTTGCCTCCTACGGTTGGGGAGCATAATCAGTGATTGAGATTGAGATGCCAACGACCAAAACTGAATATATTAAATAGTGTATGTATTTAATTATTCATTTCATTATATTATATTATAAATGAGTATTTTATGATATAATTATGTACTCTCAATTCTTTAGATTTGGGTATAGATTCATATCGATCATTAAATTATACTGTAGTATAAATGAGTATTTTGTCTTATACTAAGTATTTTTATGATATAATTATGTGCTCTAAATTCTTTCCATCTGAATTTTATGTGAAGGGTAATTGCTAAAAAAATACTCACTATACAAATTTTGCAGGTTGCCTCTTTAATATAATTAACTCAGTTTGCAGATCAGGCCAACAACATAAAGTCAATAAATGACCTTTAAATGTCTTAAAAATCTCTAAATTAACCCTAGTTTAATTTCACAAATTCTCCCTTATTTACTATATGTTCTCTATTACTGGAGTAGATATTGGGTATGTCAAGCACGCGCACGTTATAAGTGTACCCATCCAATTAAATGTAACATATTATCTCATTATCAGTAAATTTACAAATAGATGACCAACTTTTTTTTTTGAAATGATATATTATCATTAATGGGGCATTCCAATAACTTGGTATGCCTGACGCATTCACTATCTACTCCTATTATAAGGATAATTTGCAAATTTGTAAAAATTATACAATGTTGACAATTTATTTTTAGCATTTTTTTTTTTTCCTAGTTGGTATTCACACACGCTACCTTCAGGAAGTTCGAATTCCTAACTTCCCTTTGGGAAGTAGGGACCTTATATATTGGTATAGGTTTTTGCAATTTTATTTTATTTTTCTCGTCCACGGTTGGCATTAGCATATATATATTATCATTATTATTATTTTTGTAATTAACAAATTATGTAAAATATATATATTAGAGAGTGTATATTGAAATCACCCTCAATCGTTGAATTTAGAAATTCACATTTTCATTTGCAGAAAAATAGAATAGTGAGTTCTTTTGTTAAGAAAATACTTTTAAACTAAGGATTCAGATATAATTAATAATGTGTATTGTTTGTTTGGATGTAAAATATTTTCTAAAATTTTTATTTTTATTTTTTTGGTATTTGATTGTCCTAAAATATTTAGAAAGAAAAAAAATATTAAAATTTAACAACAATAACTTAAACATTAATTTTCTGCAAGTTATTTTACAGGCTACATTCGATGGACTCGATCTTAACCTTGATTTAAACATTTGTCAAACAATAAAAATAAAAATAAAAAATATATATTTTACCTGAAAAAAAAAAAAATTTTGAGAAAAATATTTTAAGTCATAATGAGACTAATGTGAAATAATATTATTGTGTTTGATTTAATTTAATTTAATTTATGCAAATCAAATATATTTTCAAATATAAGAAGGGCATTTACGTCATTTAATTTTTTTTAAAAAAAACACATTTAAAATTTCCGTTTATTTTTCTTAATTCAAAAGTATTTTCTGTGTGTCTTTACATACAAACACATATATACATATAGATACATATTTTTATACCCCTATAAATCACTGATATCAAACAAGAGACCACTTGTTGGTTGAGCTTGATTATACTTTGCAGATGTCTGGATTACCCTCTGGCCTCTGCATTTTTATCTTCCATCATTTTCAACCAGTTCTCCAGGAAGATTTACATTGGACCTCCGGTTCATCACTGTGTCCTCTTTTACCATAAAAAAACAAAGGGTAAATGAGTCTTTTTACTTTGCCCCATTCGTCTTTCTGCTCGCTCACTCAAAATTCCTCAGCTGCCATTACTGAGATCGCGCTCTCTCGTTCCAAAATAATTAAGAAAACACGCACAATATACTCTCTTCGTTTCAAATTAAGCGTTGTATTTTAGAATTATTTTCTAAAAATGACATTTACTTTGAAAGGGTAAGGAGTATAATATATATGTGTGTATATATATAATATGTATCAATTCTCGGGCTCCTCAAAATCGAAACAAGACCCACTGAAATTTGCACATGAACTGTACGGACGCCATTAAATCCGGCGAATAACCGGCACCGGAAATCACCGGTGCGGCACAGTTCCTGGCATTGATTTGGTAACCGGTGAGATTCATTCAAGTTCTCTGTTTCTCTTGGGAGAGAGAGACAAAAGCATTGACTATGGAGTGTCTATGTTGTTTTCAAGCCAGCTACAAAACCCTAGTTTGTACATGTGTTGTAACTTGTAATCTATTCTCACAATCTTCGTGCGATTACAGATCCCAATGTGTGTGTATATATAGAGTGAGAAAAAAACCCTTTTAGAGAGAGAGACAAAAATAAGGAGACATCCAAGGACGGCAATCACTCTTACAATTTCTCTGTAACTCTGTTTTCTTACCCCCTTCTTTCAAAAGGGGTTAAAAAGGTTTCAACTTTTTACTTCTTTCACAGAAATTTTTTAGAGAGAGAAAGTTTTTAGAGATAGTGAGAGAGTCAACCGACCTTTTCTGTGTTTTTTTTGGTTGGATGTATATGTAAGGCTTGCAAGAGTCCACATATTGCGTATTATCTTCACTTTTTTTTCCTTCTCTGTGCAGACCTTTTGAGTCTTTTCTCTTTCTGCTTTTGTGTGTCTTCTTCCACCTCATGAAAACAAAGCTTTTGTAAGTCAAGCATGCAGAGGGAGAGAGCACAAACCCCCAAAGCTAGGGTTTCTCTAGGGCATTTCGTAGGTTTCTCTGTAGATTTAGTGACACAGTTCTAGAGAGAGAGAGAGGGATAGAGAACGAAGTGCTAAGCCACAATAAAGGGTTTTGCTTGCCTTCTTTCTCTTTCTTTCTCTCAGAAAAAAAAAAAAAAAACACACTAAGAGAGGAAGTTGGAGACATTTGGATTTGCCCTTGTGTCTCCTCTACCTCTCTTTCTTTTCTCTAATTTTTATGGTGTTTTGGTGTGGTTTGAATAAACATTGTGTTTATAGGTTGTTTTGTTGATGCAATTTCTGGGTTGATTCAGTGCTTTGAGAGTGAGTTTTGTGTTGAAAATAAAGTGAATCTGTATCTGCAATTGTTACTGTGTTAAGAAGTTGCTGTAGATTTATAGATATTGAAGAAATCTAGAGAGAGAAACAAGGGAAGTGTAAGGCAGGGAAGTGGTTAGTAGATAGAACATCAAAAGGTAGTATTTAATGAGTTTTGGGGGTTTTCTTGAAAATGGTACTGGTGGCGGTGGTGGTGGCGGTGCAAGAATAGTTACAGATATAACTTACAGCAGCAACAACAACATGGCTAGTGGTGATATTGCTCAGCCACGCCTTGTCTCTTCATCTCTGACCAAGTCCATGTTCAGCTCACCTGGACTCTCTCTAGCCCTTGTCAGCTCTCTCTCTCTCTCTCTCTATATATATATATATATACATATCTATACATACACATACATATATATATGAGTGGCTTAATGTAGTTTCTTTTCTGTTTGCAACTGATCTGGGTTTTTTGTCTTGTGATTTTTGAGTAGCAAACGAGTATGGAAGGTCAGGGTGAGGTGACACGATTTGCTGACAATCATGAGTCTAATGTTGGTAGAAGAAGCAGAGAAGAAGAACATGAGAGCAGATCTGGCAGTGATAACATGGAGGGTGGCTCCGGCGACGATCAAGACGCTGCCAACAAGCCGGCAAAAAGAAAGAGATACCACCGTCACACCCCACAACAAATCCAAGAGCTAGAAGCGTAAGATTAATTTGGTTGTTTTCAAGAATTTTTTTTTTTTTTTTTTTTTGAATCAGAGAAGGATTATGCTTGTTTGGTTTAGTCTTTTCAAGGAGTGTCCTCATCCTGATGAGAAACAAAGGTCGGAGCTTAGCAAAAGGCTGTGTTTGGACACTAGGCAAGTTAAATTTTGGTTTCAGAATCGCAGAACTCAAATGAAGGTAATATTAGTTAGGGAACTTGTAGTGATTTCTGTATTTATGTGTTGTGTTGATTAATGGGGGAACTGAGAAGTTTGATTACTTCTACCAGACCCAACTGGAACGCCATGAGAACTCTTTACTTAGGCAAGAAAATGATAGGCTTCGAATGGAAAACATGACCATGAGGGATGCAATGAGGAACCCAATTTGCACCAACTGCGGTGGTCCTGCGATGATCGGTGACATATCTTTAGAGGATCAACACCTTAGGATTGAGAATGCACGCCTCAAGGATGAATTAGATCGAATCTGTGCCCTTGCCGGCAAATTTTTAGGCCGTTCTATTTCGTCATTGGCTGCTCCCACAGCCCCACACATGCCAAACTCAAGTTTGGAACTTGGAGTCGGAGTTAATGGTTTTGGTGTATTGAGTAGTGTGGCAACATCATTGCCTTTGGGGGCGGATTTTGGTATTGGGATTTCTAGTGGTTTGCCGGTGGTCCCTCTTACTAGAGTGGCCAGCACTTGTGACACGGGAGGCACCGAGGGATCGCTGAAGCGATCAATGTATTTGGAGCTTGCTTTAGCTGCGATGGATGAATTGGTTAAGATGGCCCAGAGTAATGAGCCCCTTTGGTTCAGGAGCTTGGAAGGGGGAAGGGAAGTACTGAACCATGAGGACTACTTGAGAACATTTTCTCCTTGCATCGGCTTGAAACCAAATGGTTTCGTTGCCGAGGCTTCAAGGGAGACGGCCATGGTAATCATCAACAGTTCGGCTCTTGTTGAGACATTAATGGATTCGGTGAGCTACGTAACTTCTTTTGTCCCTTTTTAACATCTTTTTTTCTTTCAGGATTTTTTGTTAGTCATTTTGGATTGAAGTGCTTGACTTTGATTTAGCCTTTTTTTTTGTTTTTCAAATCCGTGTATTTGTTAGTGTTATTAATTTGGGGCGTTGCTTCACATTTATTAGAATCGATGGGCGGAAATGTTTCCTTGTATGATTGCCAGAACCTCTACTACAGATGTGATTATTAGTGGTATGGGGGGAACCAGAAATGGTGCACTTCAGCTGGTAATTATGTCACCAATCAATTCATCACAATTTATTACTAATCTTTTAGTTATGAGAAATTAATTAGTTTTGAATTTTTTACTAGATGCATGCTGAGCTCCAAGTCCTCTCACCATTGGTACCGGTTCGTGAGGTCAATTTTCTGCGTTTCTGCAAGCAGCACGCAGAGGGGGTGTGGGCGGTGGTCGATGTGTCCATTGATACAATCCAAGAAACTTCCGGTGCACCGACATTGATGAACTGCAGGAGGCTTCCTTCTGGCTGTCTAGTGCAAGATATGCCCACCGGCTACTCAAAGGTAAAATTACAAACACACATTGTTACACTTCTCCAAACTTTTGTTTCATTTAAACCTTTATTTGAGCTTTTCCATGTGAGTAGTTCTAGCCTTCAGTCTTTAATGAGTTTGTTGAAGTAACTGCAACTTTGGAACTTAGTTGAGGACATTTATTTGGGAAAAAAGAACACCTTATCAGAATTGAAGGCAATTGCACTCCCAAGCTAGCTAATTGATATCATGCATATCCAAGATTATTTTATTTCTATCAGGTGATTATTCATTAAATCGCTATACAAAAATATATTATGAAGGCCTCCTTGGCAAATCTGACCCTTCTTCAACGTTATTCTATTTTACAGAGACTTTTATTTTACAAGTATTTTATTGACCAAGATGCTTCCTCTAGTGGCACATTTTATTTATAATCTCCATTTTTCAACTACTAGATTTGCTTAAATTTGGTTTAATATTTTAATAATTTGACCTTAGACCAGCAAATCGAGGTTAGCGGCATTATTTTATGAATAGAAGCCTCCATCACTCTTATTCTGCACCTTGGGACACATTAATTTCCTATCATTTTGAAGCAAATGCATTGTAATCTTCGACATTGGGTTGAATAAACTATATATTTGATGTTTCTATTCCAATCTTTGATGCTATATCTCGATAGTCCCCATTTGGGTTATTATTTAGTCCATGTAGCCATGCATTACCTGTCTCCAGCCTTGTGATGTGTTAGTTTTTCTACCTAATGAAGACCTTTTAGTCAAACCCCAAGACCGTCTCTTTTGTTGTCACGTGAATACACACACCTAAAGCCTCTGAGTAGGCTCAAGTACACATCTCTATGCCACCCTCTACAGTCTACCTCGTTCCTTCAAATCTAGTGTTAATTTCATGTCATATTATGTCTCTCATTGAGCTCAGTCTCGAGTCATTTCCAAGATTTGTCCAGTACCGTGAAAAGTGAAAATTATTTTTGTCACATTTTTTTTATTGTGTACTATTGTCACATAAGAAATTCGGGTTTGACTGAGAAATGATTCCTTGTACAAATATTCAATTGGTGTTGTGTTACAGCTTCACTGTGTTTTTACTTTTTATATATGATATACATATGCATACATATAATCATAAGCATTAAAAAAAAACCTTGTGGAAGAGTAGAGGACAACTTATAACATGTACGAGCAATATGAAAATCAATGCATATTTGATTTCGATGCTAAACTATTGTTTGTGATGATTAGTGTTTTTATTATTAACGAACATACAGGTTACATGGGTAGAACACGCAGAATATGACGAGAGCACAGTTCACCAGCTCTACCGGCCCTTGATCAGTGCCGGCATGGGTTTTGGTGCCCAGAGATGGGTGGCCACCCTTCAAAGACAATGTGAATGCCTCGCCATCCTCATGTCCTCCAACGTGCCCACTAGGGATCATACTGGTAACATATCAACCCAATAAAATTAAGTTCATTCCATTCATGTGACCAAAAGGTTGTACATTGAATATTTCTGTGAACAACCTGTGAATATTCACATGCAGGGATAACTGCAAGTGGCCGGCGAAGCATGTTGAAGCTAGCACAGCGGATGACTGATAACTTTTGTGCCGGTGTGTGCGCTTCCACGGTGCACAAATGGAACAAGCTCTGTGCTGACAACGTGGACGAAGACGTCCGGGTCATGACCCGGAAGAGCGTGGATGATCCCGGCGAGCCACCGGGCATTGTGTTGAGCGCTGCCACTTCAGTTTGGCTGCCTGTATCCCCTCAAAGATTGTTTGATTTTCTACGTGATGAGCGGCTTAGAAGCGAGTGGGACATTCTATCAAACGGTGGTCCAATGCAAGAGATGGCCCACATCGCAAAAGGCCAAGACCATGGCAACTGCGTCTCTCTCCTCCGTGCTAGTGTAAAAACTCTCTCTCTCTCTCTCTCTCTCTCTGTGCATATGCATATAATGTAGTATATCTATATACTAGTATTTGGAAAATTGAAAATTGGGCAATAGTGTAAGGAGGTATGGTGATTGAGTTGATTTGTCCTGTATTGAAAAAAGGTGAATTCTAAAAGGACGACATTGGAATTTGGAAGCATCTATAAAGACATTTTGAATTCAGATTTACGGACCGTCTTGATTTAACCTATTTCATTTGGATATCAAAAGTCAAAATACAGGACACTAGTCACCTTTCTGGGGCAGTTCATGTTACGTCACCGTTTCAATGAGAAATGTGGTGTTGCAATTTGTATGTATGAAGATGACTGAGCCTTGTCTTATTGCAGGCCATGAATGCCGACCAGAGCAGCATGCTGATTCTCCAGGAGACATGCGTCGACGCGGCAGGGTGGCTGGTGGTGTACGCGCCGGTCGACATCCCGGCAATGAACCTTGTGATGAACGGCGGAGATTCGGCCTACGTGGCACTCCTTCCATCGGGCTTTGCTATAGTGCCGGACGGGCCAGGCTGTCGTGGGCCTCCTGGTAACAGCCCCAACAATGTGGGCCCGGAGAGGGTGGGTGGGTCACTCTTAACCGTGGCCTTTCAGATCCTGGTCAACAGTCTACCGTCGGCGAAGTTAACGGTGGAGTCGGTAGAGACGGTCAACAATCTCATCGCATGCACAGTGCAGAAGATCAAAGCAGCTCTCAACTGCGAAAACTGATTGCACGTGATGGTCACGTGATGAATAATTGGAGAGGTTGGATGGTTAGTCGAATAATGGTATTTATGTTACATCATCGTATTATACTTAAATTGATGATGATGTGGTATGAATATCATTCTTAGATTGATAATCAAATCTTTTCATTATTGAAGAGGATCATTGTTTGGTCGTTGAATGATTGAGAAAGCTTTACCAGTTTTTAAAAAGACTAAAAAAAAAAAAAACTCGCAATTTTGGGTGAGTCAAGAACGAACCGCGGGTGGATAATCCTTGCCGGCTGGTGAGAGCGAGTGTGGGACCCCGTAGACGTACTCAAAGTGGGGTCAGTGTCTTCTGAACACAACGCAAGGGTGGTGGTTCGGGTATTGACTCAGATCGACCCGCGAGTTGACTCGTGAAAGCTGAAGAATGGAAAATTTTAACGGACATGTAATAGGGGGTAGAAAATTAATTATTTTTTATCTGTTTATTATTGTTGAGGCTGATGTTATAATTGCCTGCTGTGTGTGTTGTGTTTTACTACATTTTATCTGCTAGGTTTGATTTTGAAGATGTGTAAGGTCTGTCTGTTGTTGTTGTAATTTAGTACTTAAAACTTACAAAGATTCTCCTAGCGATTGCATATGTAAAGTCTAGTCTTTTCTTTTATGCTTTGTTTGGAGAGATGGAAAACGGATGGAAGAGACAGCGGGTGACTGGTGAGGGATGAATGAGGTATTCTAGTAAAGATGACATATTTTTTTGTATTTTTTATTTGGTTGAATTGAAAGGAATAATAAAATCCTAAAAAGAATATATTAGGGGGAATGAGGGGGATTAGAATTTTTATATTTTTTTACTAGTATACCTTTATCATATAAACTTTTGAAAATTAAATATCATTCCATATTTATAAATAATTAAAAGCTAAATTTGATATTACATATTTACACGGAAATTTTTCTCTTTTTTTTCATTGGACACATGAAAAACCATGTTTAAGAGGGATGCTTCCTCCCTCTCCTTTCATCCTTTGAGATTTTATTTCTTCTTTCGTCCTTCCAACCAAACATAATAGTAGTAAGAATAAAGAAAAAGTGAAATTCTTTCTTTCTTCGATCCGAATACGGATGAGATCAAATGGTTGCCATCATTGGGGGCAAACGATGCAATAGCTTCGGTTAAAGCAAAGCCCAAAATGGCATAACCGCTTTGACCTTGGCATTTGTATTTGAGCATTCAAGCCACTTTGACAGGTACTATACTAAATAGTATGGAGGAACTTATGGGAGGCAAGCGCAATTACAAGAGCCGATGCTCAAGAGAAAGTGTGAATGGAACTTCGGAAATTTTGGTTTTTGTTGTAGTTAAGTTGTTCTCGCGCATTACCTTTTACTAAACCCTTAGACTCAAATGCTTTTCTCCGAGTCCATCTACACCCGTTATAAACTGAAAGCTAGAAATCTCTCCCACAGTCACTCGGAAATGGTTTCTTTTTTCCGTACTTTTAGTATGTTTAAGAAATGATTTTAAGGATTCATCACCAACATTCTAGATTGCAATTATATCAACCACAAGTGAATTATGTATTGTAATTAGAGTATGGTCAAAGACTAATGTTTTCAGAAGTTGAATATAATAAGATTTCTAAGTTGTGTCCTAACAACTCAGCTAATCCATAAAGGTTAATTAACAACTCAGCTAATTCGTAATAACAATATTTCAGTAACTTTTTGCTTCAGTTGTTTGTTTTGTATTGAAAATGGTCTTATTCAACCTATTCTTTGTGATTTGTTTTCCATACAAATAAAGTCCTTTCTCACCTTATAAGTTTACTATTGAAATTTAAGCTTTCAAATGCTCCCACAACATTTGAATGCCTCCATTGACATTTAACACGTTTTGCTGAAATCTCACACATCCTTGTGTTTTTCACTCTCTATCAAGTTTCAACAACATTCATGAACATTCATCTGTCCTCTCTCTCTCTCTCTCTCTCTCTCTCTCTCTCTCTCACACACACACACACGTATTGTGTGAACTAGAGGTGAGTAGGGGGTGCTGATGTGGGTCAAAAGAAGTTTGTGGTCCTTGAAATTATAAATGTAGGGGGTCTTGGAAAAGGAGGCGTGGTGGTACCATTGAAACAGAGTTTCCACCAAACCAGTATGAATATGTGAAAAAAAATGGTTATGAATCTCATCAAATCTTTTAACTCATTCAACTCAACTTCTTGCCATGCCTTTTGACTTGAGACCAAGTGGATGTTTGGAGCCATCTAAATTTATGGTCAAAGTTAGAAAAAAATATATATATATGAAAAAAATAGTAATAATAATAATTTGTTAAATAAATAAGAAACTATCAAATAGACAAATATGCCCCTCCAAAATTCTAGTGCTATTTTTATTTTTATTTTTTCTTCTTAAAGTGAATCGTAATGGTTGATTAATATTGTCTATAAGATAAGTGTAATAAAGGAGAGTTTGTCTCATATCCAATCCGAATAGAAAAATGAATGGGTATAAATGAGTGAGTATGTAACATTAGCCAATTGCTTAAAATTTTTTATCACTATAAAATTACAAAATAAATTTTTATTATGTTCAAGAAACTGATAATGAAACCTTACGATATATTTCATTTAGGAATTAAGAACACCTTAATTTATAGCATGCTTTTAATTAACAAAATTATTGTATGATGATAAGACAAAATGGATGCCATGACAAGGATCATGATATGATGCGTATCATTTCATAATTTTACAGATGAGAATGTATTGAATAAATAAAGTATAGCAAAAATCCCATCCATTTTAGAGGAAACATAATAGAATAAATTAAAAAACTTATCCAAAATATGGAATCAAAAAATTAGAGATTTTACACCACCAAGTACACAATTCACGTGGGATTAATGTACACCTATCAAATTTGAGCCATAACACTTTCACGTGTATAGTTGGTGTTGTGGTCCCTTCAATGTATCTAAATTAGCTATATGTCATGTTCATTAATGTTTCATGTTTGCATGCACATAGACATAGCATATATATATATATATATATATATATATATATATATATATTATAATGCACATTATAATTCCATGATTGGTGCATAAATGGAAGACATCGCTGTATATGGACTTGTAATTTTGATCTATTTTTATATATTACAGTAATAATTAAGAATTGAGTTTAATCAGTTTGCCATGCGAAAATATATATATATATAGAAGGACAAATGCAGAAAATACTCCAAAAAAATATTTCAAGTAGAATTTTTATTTCTATTTTAAAAAGTATGCAAAAAATAACTATAATTTTTTCATGTTGTGCAAAAATATCCCCTCTTGCATAAATTAGTATTGTAATACTTGTTTTATCCTTTTACTTTTCCGAAAATGTCCAAAGAGTATATATGCTATTAATCTCATAGTATAGTAGTGTTATGTGCACATAACCTTATATATATGTATATATATAAACTTTTTTCTCTATATATAACTCTAAACAATTTTTTTTTTTTTTAATTTTGAGAATTTGTAGAACAGAGATTTGAATTTTTTGAGATTCCAGTTTACTTTTTTCTACTAATTTTTTTTTCTTTATTTTATTTTATTTTTCGTACCAACACTTAAACAAATAAATAAATAAAAATTTCAATACCAGTGTGCACTGGTTTCCGAAGTTTGGAAAAAATTTGTTTTTTTTAGTTTACACTTTATTTTTGTTTTTATTTTTTATTTTTATCTTTACTTTTTCTTTTATACATTTATTTTTATTTTTATCTTTACTTGTCCATTGTCGGCGTCCTCCAATAGTGTCATTTTCAGTCATTTTATAAAATTATTTATTCTTATACGAGTATATTTTATAAAATAGTTCAGTACGGTTAATTTAGTCAACTTAGGGTTTAAAATTTGTCAGAATAACCTATTTGCACCTGATTGAAACTTTAGGGGCGTTTTTTGCACGAGAGAGACATCCTCCAATAGTGTCATTTTTTTGTTATTTTACAAAATTATTTATTTTTATATATTTTATAAAATAATTCAGTAAAGATAATTTAGTCAATTTAGAGTTTAAATTTCGTGAAGAGTATGATATGCATTGTAAGCATATTTTAAGAATGTTTTCTCCACTTGACCTATATATATATATATATATATTATGAGAATAGCATGAAACTGAAATAGAGTTAAAAAAAAAGGGTTGTTGAAATTCATGTATGGTTTCTTGCATTAAATGAAGTAGATGTGTTGGTATAGAGAGAGATATTTGTTGGTGAGAAGCTAATTTACAATAAAAGCATAGGAAATGGCCAACCCCTCGGTGCAATTAATAAGGGTCATTACCAACTTTCTTGGAAACCAATTAAATGCCATTTCAATTTTAATATGACTACACTACGACCAACATATATCCAAGTTTGTATTATTATTTTAATTATCTTATATACATACATACTTTTGGGATTGTCCAATTCATCCAAATCTTTTTTATAACCTAAAACAAACAAAGAATCAACTAAGTGGCATAAAGACAACGAGTGATCTCTTTGTCAAATTCTTTTATGTTCTTTTGGTTATTTGATGTGAAATGTATATATTATATTACATAATTTATTTATTTATTATAATGATCAGGTCATTTTTCTTCTTTTTTTTTTTCAGAGTTTTTACGGATAAATTTTTTTCGTTGAATTTTCTTTTCCGAGTTAATTTCTCGTCGCTTAGTGTCATCTCGAGTACTCGGAAATGGTTTTCAAAACTCTTTCTTTTGGATTGACAACTTCCTTAAAGGATCGAGTCATTTCTACATTTTCATTTTTTCGATATTATTCACTTTTCGTCTTTTCCCTATTTGTCACTTTGTTGGCACATCCTCACTTTTCGTGTTCGGAGTTGAGTTTTGACTTCATGAGTTTTAATTCCAGTTGATTTCCTCAAAACGCGTAACGTTACTTTTGGAGACAAGCTCACCGGTTGTTCCTTTTTTCACGCAAAGGCGTGGATGAAAGGATTCTTCAGAAACATTGATGTTTCTTGGGGTATTTTTTATAAATATCTTTTGAAGATATTTATTTCAGGGGTTTTTAAAAAAATATCTTTTGGAAGATATTTTCATTTTGGGCAGTTGCGCAGTTATCCTTTTGTGTAGGGGCTTTTATGTAATTAATGAAAGTTAATTGCAAAGTGTTTCTTTGGGGCTTGCATCCTCGTACGGAATCCATTTTCACATTTCGTCGAGTCGTGTACTCTTAGGATTGTCTACTGGTCATTCTTTGCAGTTTTCGAGTTTCTGGTCCCGGTTGCCGCCGAACTTGTTCAGGGCATATCTTTTTGCATGGGACTCGGTTTTCGACATCGTTTCTTCTATTGTTCATTTTTTTTTTATTTTGGTTCTTTTTTATTCATGGTGTTTTACCGTTTGAGTACGTCATGCAGATTCCACTTTTTCGGACCCGGCGGGGCTTGTTAAGGGCACTTTTAGGGTTTTTTTTTATATAAATAAGGGGACTTAAAATGAAAAGTCAAATTTTTCTATCTCTCTCCCTCTTGGCTGGCCAGCCATGGCAGCCCCTTGGGCTTCCACATTCTTCCTTCTTTTTCGGCCACTTCCCTCTTGAATTTTGTCACGATGCCTCAGGCCTTGTTGTA